ACGAAGGGGACCCAGGGCGGCTGGGTTTCTAAGAAACACCAAGAAAATCCAACAAATGCTACGTTCAGCAAAGGGATCCTCTCACCTCTGCAGGAGTCTACCGTATGCCATGCAGCTGTGGACAAGTCTACATAGGGACCACCAAACACAGCGCCCAAACACGAATCAAGGAACATGAAAGGCACTGCAGACTACTTCAACCAGAGAAATCAGCCATAGCAGAGCACCTGATGAACCAACCTGGACACAGCATTTTATTTGAGAACACAAAATGCTGGACCACTCTCACAACCACCATGTCAGACTACACAGAAAAGCCATTGAAATCCACAAACATGTGGACAATTTCAACAGAAAGGAAGAAACCATGAAAATGAACAAAATCTGGCTACCAGTATTAAAAAATTCTAAAATTGCAACAGCAAAAACAGCAGAGAGAAAAACAGGCAGGGACATCTAATCACCTTTCAAGAAGAGTTTGCTCCAGGCACAGTCAGCCCATTGTATGCTAATCTAGGTGGTCAGTTGAAAGATTCACACCTAGCCCACTTACAAAAGCCCTTTGTCTCACCCTGGTCATTCCACAGATATATAAACCCCTTTTTTCCCAGTTCCAGCAGACCTCACCTCTGAGGATGCTTGCCATAGATGCAGGCGAAACGTCAGGAGAAATGCCTCTAGAACATGGCCATATAGCCCGAAAAAACCCACAAGAACTGATGATTTTGTCGATGTTTGTTTCCAAATGCCAGCTGAGATCTTTTGGCATGGCACCCAGTGTGCCAATGACCACTGGGACCACCTGGGCTGGTTTATGCCAGACCCTTTGCAGTTCGATTTTGAGGTCTTGATAAGGGCTGAGTTTTTCCTGTTGTTTTTCCTCAATGCGGCTGTCACCTGGTATGGCGACATCAATAATCCAGACTTTTTTCTTTTCCACAATCATGATGTCTGGTGTTTTGTGTTCCAAAATTTTGTCAGTCTGGATTCGAAAGTCCCACAGTATTTTTGTGTGTTCATTTTCCATGACCTTTGCGGGTTTATGATCGCACCAATTCTTTCCTGCTGGTAGGTGGTACTTGTGACATAAGTTCCAGTGAATAATCTGAGCCACAGAGTTGTGTCTTTGTTTGGAGTCCGTCTGTGCAATTTTCTTGCAACAGCTGAGGAGATGGTCCATGGTTTCATCAGCTTCCTTGCACAATCTGCATTTTGGGTCATCCGTTGATTTTTCAATCCTGGTCTTAAATGCATTGGTTCTGATGGCTTGCTCCTGGGCTGCAAGAATCAGGCCTTCTGTCTCCTTCTTCAGGGCTCCATTCATGAGCCATAACCAGGTCTTCTCCTTGTCAACTTTTCCTTCAGTCTTCTCAAGGAACTGCCCATGCAATGCTTTGTTGTGCCAGCTGTCAGCTCTGGTTTGGAGTGCTGTGCTTTGATAAGTTTCCGATTATTTACTTCAATTAAAGCAGGTTCTTGGCTTTCCTTTACATATTCTGCCAGGACGTGTTTTTCTTCTTTGCCTGCTTGTTTTACTTGTAAAAGTCCTCTGTCACCAGACTTTCTAGGCAGATAGAGCCGGTCAACATTACTGCGAGGATGTAATGAATTATGAATGGTCATGAGTTTTCTTGTTTTTCTGTCCAAATTGTTCAGTTCTGCTTGTGTTGAGTTTATGATGCCAGCAGTATATCTTATGACAGGTATGGCCCAGGTGTTTATGGCCTTGATGGTGTTGCCTCCACTGAGCTTGGTTTTGAGAATTATATTATTATTATTATTATTATTATTATTATTATTATTAGAAACACAACAAGATTAGTACACAGCAATACAGTTGTTGTATTGGATCACACATCGAACACTTCCCAAGTGTCTAGGACTGTGTGATGTTTTGGCGAATAATGTGTGCAGATCCCGGTAGGGTGGCCTCTTGCAGCTGACAGATGGTAATTTTGTCAGTGCCAATTGTGTTTAAGTGTAGGCCAAGGTCTTTAGGCACTGCACCCAGTGTGTTGATCATCATTGGGACCACCTTGACTGTCTTGTGCCAGAGTCTTTGCAGTTCGATCTTTAAATCCTCATATTGTGTCAGCTTTTCGAGTTGTTTCTCTTCAATCCTGCTGTCACTTGGGAGTGCAACATAGACAATCCATACTTGTTTTTTTAACATGATTGTAAGGTCACAAGTATTGTGCTCCAAAACTCTTGTCAGTCTGAATTTGGAAGTCCCAGAGTAGTTTGACATGTTCATTTTCAGGCTTGTGATCCACCAGTTCTTTGTTGCAGTTAGATAGTATTTGTGGCACAAGTTCCAATGAATCATCTGAGCATTATTGTTGTTGTTGTTATTGACACAAAAGCAAAGTATGCCACAGCAAACGAGATCTATATGCTGGTTTTCGTATCACTAAATCACAAGTCGAACACTTCCCAAGCGTCTAGGACTGTGTGATGATGTTGTTATTATAATTATTATTATTATTATTATATGAAGCCATAGGAAAGCTCTAATGGGCAATCTGCACCTCTCCTTGCGTGCAATGATTTCATTTCATCCACAAGGAAAACACAAAGTAACAAACTCAAGAGAGGCAAACAATGTGGGACGGAAAGCATAATATAAGGAAGTTAAAGATACAGTTTTCTAAATGTAAACATTGTTTATTTATTGACAGAAGTTACTTGTCTATGTTGCCACTGATTTGAATATACAAAGTAACTTTATACTTTGCTGCATGGTGAGTTGCTGTTAAAAGTATGGACAAGGTCTGTTCATTCGAAGTACTAGAATTAATACTAACCAAAGGGAATAATGCGCTTTTCTTTAAACTATGCCTGAGTTGCAAACCCCATCTGATCTTTAGCACTTTGGTTTATCAACCTCTCTTGTGTTGTGTTGCAGAATCAATTATTTGCTTGTTTACTCGTGTTATGCATTGTTTCTGGGCTTCTTCCCTTTTTTGCATGCCATTTGTGAGTCTCCAAGTGGTTCTTCTGAAAAGTGCATCCTAATCCTCCACGTCCAGCCACAGCAAAACAACCCTTCACTCAATTCCTTTTATATAAAAGCCATCAGTGCCAGAAGTTTTCTTACTACGAAATCATTGAATCCCTTTGTATTTTTGGCTTACATCAGGTATGTGCAAACTTGGGTCCTTCCTCCAGGTGTTTTGGACCAGCTCCCACAATCCCTAACAGCCTCAGGCCCTTTCCTTTCCCCTCACAGCCGCTTAAGCGGAAAAGAAGAAAAGGAGGGGGCCCTGAGGCTGTTAGGAATTGTGGGAGTTGAAGACCAAAACACATGGAGAGAGAGCCAAAGTTTGCCCATACTTAGTTTAGATTATGCAAAAAGCAAACAAAAGAAATGTGTTGAGGAAGGGAAATCTAAAGAGTCATTGCTTATGTAGCAAAGGTGCCCCACGGGTTGAGAACTCTGATCTAGAGCCATTGCTTTTGTTCCGAATCACAGGGATCATGGTGGCAGTCATATCCACAATGGAAGATACGCAATGACTCTCCTCACAGACTGGATATTGGATAGAGCTGGGTGGATATTTTATAATGATGAAAACAAAGCCAAAAGAAAGGAGAGGGCAAGACGCTGCCAGGCAAGGTGTTTATACCCTCCTGCTTCCTTTTGACCCTTTATGTCAAACTGAACGACTCTCAGCTCCAAGATACTGAAGTTGTAGGCACTTTCCATCCTGCTCCAATCCTCTTACAATTTCTCTTCTCATTCTTCCTCTGATAGGTGGGGCTCTAATTATTTCACCTTACTTCCAATTATCCATACCTCATAAGGAATGCCTTTCCAGTGCCCACCCAATCTTCCTTTATTTACATTCTGCCACCCTAAAAAGGTGAATCTGTTCTTGTGCCAGACGTGATGCTAATCTTCCAAATTCCTCTCTAGCTAGAGAAATAGGAACTCACTTTCTAAGCATTTCTACTGGATGTTGACACACTGTCCCTGAAAAACCAGACAAATCTCTGCCATAAGTCACTGCAGGGGAACAAGGTTGTTGCCTGGAGACAAAACCCTAAGGGCCTGATTTGCAACCGGTGGCACATCTCTTCTGCACCTTAGAGGCAGGAAAGCTTTGCTGCTGCATCAGAATCCAGCAAGATCTTTCTGTATCCTCCATCTGGTGCAAGATGGACAGGGAGGTACATCAACTATAAAGAAGAATATATTTCAGCATTGAATTAAAGTGAGCATGGCTTCTAAGCCAAGGGAATGTGAGGTTTACATCACTGGTCAGGCTCCTGAGTGCATAATTCACCCCACTTCCAATATTCCAATATGAATGCTGCGATTATTGCAAACACAATGGCATAAAGGATGGTTGGGGGGGGGGGGATAAGTGGTTTTGGGGGGAAAATTGAAGCCTGACTTCCAGAATCCTAGGCCAACATTCAAACTACTATCTCAATGGCTCTGTGCTGAAAGCTGATGCGCTGAAACAGGCTCGTCATGGATGATATAAGCTTCACTGGTTTCAGTGGGTCTATTTGAAGCAGGATGCTGAACCTTGGTTCCCAGAATGTCCATGCTTTGAATGTAATGGCAGAAACACCTGGAAAGTGAACTCCAAATCACACAGGGATCAAAGGTTAAGGGCAACAGATCTACAGTGAATACCCCGTAGCACTATGGTTCTTAATGGCTCCTGACAAGTGTCCGTTCAGTAATGTTGCTGGAAAGAGGAACCCAGAGGTTGGAATTAAGCAGCCTATGCCAACTGATTCCTCCTGGACTACACTCAGTAAACCTGCTGTTGTGTGCAGAATAATGCAGGATAAAGCTTTTGCTGTAAAACATAGAGTGGAGACCAACAGAAGTACCCAATGCTGCTTGTTTTTGTTGGCATGGAAAGCAAAGAGAACACAACTATGAGATCAGGACAAAAAACAACAATATATTACAAAAATGTGCCAAATCTCCCTTTATTAATTTAAAATAGTTATCTTTTTCTGCTCTCTAAAACAGGAAACAGGCTTTCAAGACAGTGAAATGACATTAGTATGCCATTAGGAAGCAATACACCTAAGATTTGAAATTAAGACCCATAAAAGTGGTTATCAATATTTATAAGATAAACAGAACCAATGCAAACGGACAACACTCCTCCAAACGGGGCTCAGCGTTGCATATCTACAGTAACAGTGGGAGCTGCTAAGGAATTTTAAAACGGCGCTCCAGTGGTATCAGCCGAATAGGTTTAAGCTAGGTTCTTGTGGGTTTTTTCGGGCTATAGAGCCATGTTCTAGAGGCATTTCTCCTGACGTTTCGCCTGCATCTATGGCAAGCATCCTCAGAGGTGTGAGGTCTGTTGGAAGTAGGAAAAATGGGTTTATATATCTGTGGAATGGCTGGGGTGGGGCAAGGAGCTCTTCCCTGCTGCAGTTAGGTGTGAATGTTTAGCTGATCACCTTCATTAGCATTTGAAGGCCTGCCTGAGCCTGGGAAAATCTGTTGCTGGGAGGTGTTAATCTGTGCCTGGTTTTTTCCTCTCTGTTGTTTAGCTGTTATAATTTTAGAGTTTTTTAATACTGGTAGCCAGATTTTGTTCATTTTCATGGTCTCTTCCTTTCTGTTGAAATTGTCCACATGCTTGTGGATTTCAATGGCTTCTCTGTGTAGTCTGACATGGTGGTTGTTGGTGTGGTCCAGCATTTCTGTGTTCTCAAATAATATGCTGGACACATATTGTGTCCAGCACATTTCTGTGTTCTCAAATAATATGCTGGACACATATTGTGTCCAGCATATTGTGTCCAGCACATAATGTGTCCAGCATATTATTTGAGAACACAGAAATGCTGGACCACACCAACAACCACCATGTCAGACTACACAGAGAAGCCATTGAAATCCACAAGCATGTGGACAATTTCAACAGAAAGGAAGAGACCGTGAAAATGAACAAAATCTGGCTACCAGTATTAAAAAACTCTAAAATTATAACAGCTAAACAACAGAGAGGAAAAAACCAGGCACAGATTAACACCTCCCAGCAACAGATTTTCCCAGGCTCAGGCAGGCCTTCAAATGCTAATGAAGGTGATCAGCTAAAACATTCACACCTAGCTCCAGCAAACAAGAGTTCCTTGTCCCACTCTGGTCTTTCCAAAGATATAGAAACCCATTTTCCTAGTTCCAACAGACGTCACTACCTCTGAGGATGCTTGCCACAGATGCAGGCGAAGCATCAGGAGAGAATGCCTCCAGAACATGGCTCTATAGCCCGAAAAAACCCACAAGAACCTAGTGGTTCCGGTTTAAGCTAGGTTTAATTAAGACACAAAACTGAATAGAACTGGAGCCAATTAAAAGATCACCAAAAGATCTCAACAAACTGTTCCAAGAAATTCTCCTTCTCACTCTAATGTAAAACTTGGGAGTTCTGCTGCCAGCCGCTCCAATGGGAAGACATGCCGGTGGATCCAGCTCCCTGCTTCTCAAACGTGGAACGTAACTCATTATTCCTGCCACTCGTGATATTCAGCTCCCATGCCGCTAGAAACCTAAAGGAAAGAGGAGGCAAATCTTGCTGGGTAAAAGCTACAACAGGTGATTGTACCTGTTCTTAGGCAGGATGGACAGGCAAGCAGCATTATGGTCTCAAATCTAACTCACAACGCAGCATGATATCGAAGATAATATCTGCACTGATTGAATAGGTTTCCTGCTGCAGGGAAATGCTTGTTGACATGCAGGTATGCACAGTAATCCAAGATTATAAAAAACATGGACAAAGGCAAATACTTGTGGGGAGGCTGGTTTTCAAAGAAAAAGCAATAAGTCTACCTATTAAGTATAGGCATAGCTACGTATTCTGAAAGAGCCTCAAACGGATCAAGGTTTCATCTCAGTGGCAAGGCTTAATGTTTTGTAAAACACTAAAGGTACAGTCCAAATTTCCTGTGCAAACGCATCTCCCTCTATGTACCATCGTGGAGATTAAGATCCTCCGGGGAGGCCCTGCTTTTCATCCCGCCATTGTCACAGGTGGGGACGAGGGACAGCGCCTTCTCGGTGATTGCTCCCCAGCTATGGAACTCCCTTCCTTGTGAGATCAGGTTGGCCCCCTCCCTCCTGTCCTTTAGAAGGATGGTAAAAACTTAGCTGTGGGACCAAGCTTTCGGGACAGGGCAATGAAGCGACAATGGGAAAGATGACAGGGCCAATTGGATTTGATGCGGATGGCTAGGACGGTTTTAAATTGTGTTATTTTAAATGGTGTATTTTAATATTTAGATAAATGTTTTTTAATGTTTATGTATTGTACCCAGGCATTGAATGTTTGCCATGTATATGTTGTGCTCCGCTCTGAGTCCCCTTCGGGGTGAGAAGGGCGGAATAATAAGTGTTTTAAATAAATAAATAAATAAATAAATAAATAAAACAGAGCAAACTCGCCTCAGTTTCACAGGTATCAACAGGTTTGAAAATGTCCAACTTTGTACCAAACCGCATTCCTATGATAACACTAACTGTAGATGCAATATAAATAACTTTATGCAATTCCTCAATATATGATCATTTCCCAACCATCAGCAATGCATTACACGTCCATCATGTTCTGATCTGTGGTCTGGACTACACCTAAAAAATTAATAATTTCTTAGACTATTTAAAGCATTTGGAAACATACAAATGTAATTCAGGAAAAGAAGAAAAATACTTTTGATATCTGAAATGAGATGAAACAGGAAAGCTACTCAAATTCACATAATTGGAGAGACAGAGAAAGAAGGCTGTTTCTTAAGACACATGTCTTCCAACTCTTTGATTCTATGATGATCCTATTATTACTATTTATAATAATAAATATGGAAGGGGTTGGACTGGGTGGCCTATGTGGTCTCATGCAACTATGATATTATTATTATTATTATTATTAGACATGACAGGGAGTTGGACTGGCTGGCCCTTGGGCTTCTTCCAACTTTAGGATTCTATGATTATATTATGATTATGATTATCACTATTGTTATTTATAATAATAATAAACATGGAAGGGGTTGGGTTTGATGGCCCTTGGGGGTTCTTCCAAGGATGATGATGATGATGATGATGATTATTATTATTATTATTAAGCATGACAAGGGGTTGGACTGGATGGTCCACGAGGTCCTTGTGTCCAGGGAACTCCTGAGTCCTGATCTGAGAAGTGTGAGGCTGGGAGAGTCAGCGGGGTCAGCTGCGCATTACCTAGGGCACGACCCTGAGGTCCATAGTGTCATAGGCATCCGTCCTCATCCGCTGCAGGCCACTCCGCAGCAAGGCTCGCAGCTTTCCATACTCTGGCTTCTCCTCATATTCCAAGGACATCACTTGCAGCAGGTAGCCTTGCAGGGCTTCTGGAAAAGATAGCTGGGAATGTCAATGAGAAGGAAGGCATCACACTAGTATTCCCCAACATGAATGTCACAAAACCCAAAGAAGGAAGAATGAACCTGGAATTTCTTTCCAACCATAGGAAAAGCTTGGATGCTTGATGACATCTGATTTATACCTACAAAAGCATAGAGAAAGAAGTACCGGTAATTCCTTCAAACAAGATGTGGAAAGTGTTAAGCTGAGCAGAGAACTTTGCACTGAAACACTGGACATCCTTGCCTATTTCCACCAAAAATTAAGCTAGGAATTATACAAGTGGAAGGTCTCCCCTAATTCTTGGCAGTCACCTAGGGGTAATCCTTTGTCAGTGCAGGATCTGCAATGGAGAATGTAATTACATCTTGTTTGATAAATAGCAGGGGCCCCCTGGTGGCGCAGTGAGTTAAACCACTGAGCTGCTGATCTTGCTGACCAAAAAGTTTGAATCCAGGGAGTGGGGTGAGCTCCTGTGTGGTTAGCCCCAGCTTCTGCCAACCTAGCAGTTAAAAAACATCCAAATATGAGTAGATCAATAAGTACCACTCCAGCGGGAAAGTAACGGCACTCCATGCAATCATGCCGGCCACGGCATGGACGACGCCAGCTCTTTGGCTTAGAAATGGAGATGAGCACCACTCCCAGAGTCGGACATGACTGGACTTAATGTCAGGGGAAACCTTTACCTTTACCTTGATATATAGCTGTCCAGTCTTTGCTGAAATATCTTCAGTAAAACAGAATCCTGCACATCCCAAAGGGACTCTCGAACAACTATAAGAATGTATCTAACATTTAGCTAAAATTTGCTTCCCCTCTGATTACCATCAAAGACTTCTCTTGACCCACTGGGTGAATGTGATATTTGTCTCCAAAAAGGCAGTGCTACAATACTGCCATAATAAGCGTGGCAATCCTTTCCCCCCCCCCCCCCCAATATTTTAGAAGTTTTCTTCTCTACTTCTGGAGTATAGAGAATGCTCGTGATATAAAACAAGGGCCTTTGTCATCACAGTATACACATCCACAGACCTTTCCTTCTTCTCCATGACTGCGCATGGATTCGCCAGCTCCATAGACCATGGGAGAAAGCCACAGAGCCACTTGACTAAGCAGTACCCCAAGGACTCAAGATCACTCCTACGGGATGGTGCTATTAGGACAGGAAAAAAACATTCACCAGGGAAACATTAAGAGTAGAGTTTTAAATAGGAGAGTTACAGATGATATACAGCCTTAGGAGTCACATAAAGTAAAACCATCCAGTGAGTAAACTACGGCCTGAAAATGTGATTCAGTTTCTTATTATTCGTTCCAGGCTTCTGATTGCTTTAAAATCAATCAATAAGGTTTTGTAGGCTTTCTAAAAAACCATTCCCTGTTTCAGTCTCCTATCTCTCTAAGTCACCCACCAGATGAGCACTTATCTATATAAATAAAAATGTAATGTCCATTTGTGGGATTAATATAACTCAAAAACCACTGGACGAATTGACACCAAATTTGGACACTGCACCCCTAACAGACCAACGAGTGATCATCACTCATAACCCCCGCCCCCAAAACAGAGGAAATGACCCCAAAAAGCGAAATGATACAGGACTTGTGCGAAAACGACAGCTCCCACCATCCCTTAGACCAGGCCCTTTAGGGGAGGAGGGTGCTCCAAATGCACTGTTTCCAAGCTGCAAGCTTCCTTCTTCTTGGATATCTTTGAGAGCATCACAATATTTGAGAGCATCACAACTTCTACCGGCTGTTAGGAATTGTAGTCCAAAACACCTGGACAGAGGGAGGGCCGAAGTTGGCCCATGCCAGATGGAGCATCTCTTTCCAGGACCAGAAACTCACCTGCTCCTTTGTGGCTGTCGAGGCTGATGAACTCCAAGGTACCCTGGTGGGGGGTCTTGCTGCCCTCTCGCTGAGGCACATGCTTCCCCGCAGGGCTGTAGCGGAAGGCAAAGCAGTAATCCGCCATGGTGACCTAGCAGAAGGGGAGAGAAGGCTGAACAAGCTGCAAGGTGGGCCTGGCAGGAGAGAGAGATGAAAAGCTCACAACCCAGCCTGGTTTGCAAGACACTCTTTGATCCAGTTGCTCACCACTTTTAGGAACTGCCATGCTCCGCGAAGCCCCTCTCTGAATCTTTGCAGCAGCCAGAAAAAGAAACTAACATTAAGAAGGGGTATAGTGCTACAATGTGCTACACAATAAGAAGGTAAATACTAGGGCTGTTTCGTAATTTGGAGATTTGAATGATTTGTTAACACAATTCTCCAAACTACTAATGGGAATCGGACCCTTCCAAAGTATTACAAAAATGGAAGCCTTTAAAACTTTTCAGAGAGATTAGTAAAGATTTGTTGTTTTGGAGCGTTTCAAGCTGTGTTTTTTCCACCCCGTAATTGTCTGGGTGGGAAGGGCCAAAGGGGCTGAGGTGATGGACAACGGCGGTGGCATGCTGTCCCCCCCCCCTTCTCAGCCAATCACAAGGCTTTCTGCAAAGCCGGTCTCCTCCCCTCAACGTGGTGACACCTCTTTAAAAATTTTTTTTTAATTTAGTTTTTCCCAAAATTTCCTTAAAAAGGGTAGATGTATGAGTCTTTCTAAAATTTTGCAGGATTGATGCCCTGCTTATGTTGTCTCATTGTGCAGAAATTCAAGGGGAAAACCCACTGTCGTATTATTATTATTATTATTATTATTATTATTATTATTATTTGTAAAAGCTTTTTTAAATGGTTAAAAATCAGTGGATTGCCGCAACGTTCTGAAATTTGACAGGCTGAAAGTGGGAAATGTTGCCTATAAGTGTGCCAAGTTTCCCCTGATGCTCATAAAAATGTCGGAGAAATGAGCCTTTCAAAATTTTCCCCATTGTCGCTATTGGAACATATCTTAATGAAACAATTACGAAGCTTCGGAGATTTGGATTACTAATTGTAATGGGGCCCCTCCAAATCTTTACAAAACCAAGTGGGGGCCATCCGAATCTCTGAAACGAATTACTAATTGGTTTTTAGCTGTTTCACTCACTTCTTTATCTTTCTAGCTCTCAATCTCCTATAAGATTGTGTGCAAGTGAGCATGGGTGTGTATTTACTCTGAGCTTGGAACAATGCCTTTTTTTTTATTACTATGGTTCAGAAAACCCATGTCTTTAAAGCAGCAACAATCAATGTTTTCTGGCAGGAGAGAGAAAAACCTCACACTTTTTGGGGTAGAGTTGTCTTGAATGGAATGTATGAACTTTAAGGTTCTTGACATCCACACTTGGGAACGCTTGGTAGAACAACTGAAAAGGTTCTCCAAGTCTACAGGAACTCTTTTTGGTCTGAATATATTCGCTGTTTGCTGCCGTCTTATTCCTTACCACACTAGGGTCGGCTGGATTCACATAGATGTTCTCAGCAGCAATGTCCCCATGGGTATATTCATTCTCATGGAGGAATTCAAGGACATCCAACTAAAGACAAAGTTTAAGGCAGAGAAGAAATGTCATTCAGAACAGAGATCTAGAACATTGTAAGCACCAAGGACTGCCTCAGACACCCATGTCTATGTGCAGACATCACATGCATAATTTTCCTTTCTCTATTTCACTTAGACACACACACAGCCTGAACACAAATATGGGATTGTGGGGAAAGAGTGAAGCCACAGTGCCCCCAATTGCTGCTATTAGCAAGAGTCAAGCAGGAATCCTGAAAATTTATTGGTGGGATGGCAGTGCAGAGGTTTCTTCACAAATCTTGAAGAAATCTGCAACTGATATCTTTGAGAGGATTGACTAAACCACAGGTCATGGCAAGATCCATAACACAGTTTGGGTGGCTGCATCCTTTGCATGTACATCTCTGATTGACAGAAACATGCAGTCAATAGGCTCTTGGAGATGCTCAGCAATGCCTGGAAGCCTTGGTTTCTGCATCTGTGATGCAGAGCCTAGCAATGGCCATCAAAGTCCTAATGCGTGAAGAACCTGACGTACAACTTTACAGTCCTTCTTCTTGAAGGAGGCCTCATCTACATTGCCAAATAATGCAGTTTTAAATAGATTATATGGTCAGCATAGACTCAAGCTGGATCTACACAGCCATATAATCCATCTTATCGGAGCAGTGAATCCACATTATCTGATTTGAACTGGATTATATGAGTCTAAACTGTCATATAATCCAGTTCAAAGCAGATCATCTGGTTTATATATGGCAGTGTAGATCCAGCCTCATTTAATGCAGACTGAATTGCACTGAACTGGATTATTTGAGTCTACACTGCCATATAATCCAGTTGCATGCAGTCAATCTGTGCTCTGAAACTGCATAATATGGTAGTTTAGATGGGGCTGGAGACTGTTTTGATTGAGCAGCAAAGGTAACACAACCATGAATAACATGAATGCGACCACTATTTCCCATCTGGAAAATGGTGCTCAAGGTACAGCTGATATCAAGGTAGGGAGCGATGGGACCTCTAGTTAAGCCACTTTGTTGCAATAGCATAGCTACCCCTACAAGCCCATTATCAGTGGCAAACCCTACAATTGTATGGCTTATCTAATATTTCTGAAAAACCCACTTTACTCTACTTCCCCTTTGTTTGGAATTTTTTCATACCAGCCTGACAGCAAGTTGCAGCACCGCTTTCTCTGTCATCTTGTTTGCACAATCATCCAGGATTGACTGAAGCGAGCGACCCAAATGAGGGAACACCAGAAACCTGCCAGTCAAAAGAAATAATGATGTACATGAATTCCTATCATCTGTTGGCGATCTCCAGGCAGCCATTATTAAAGCCTTTTATCTCTCTTATCAGTTAATTCCTCTTCAGTTCCATGGAAAGCTGGAAGTGAAAACTATCAGTAATCAGTATGAAATGGGAGGAAGGCAGTTTATCTCAGCTGCATTTACGGCAGCACAATGGACATGACTTCTCAAATTTACACTGCTTCCCTCCCCAAGCCAGTACGCCTCAAAGGTAGTATTATCAGAAGACTTTAAAATGAGAAGACGCAAAGCAGGAAATGTAGCAAGGGAAGATTACATAAAAAGAGAGTCCTGGGGAGCACTAAAGTCCATTTTTCTCTTTGAATATATTAAATATTAAAAAGTAGGGGCGTCAGGGAAAGCCAAGGCTGTAATCTTTTAAGAAGAAAACAAGTCAGAGGACATAGTTATACTGTTTTGTTTCATCACTGTAACCTGTGTATACTGCCTTCAAAGGTTTACAGCTGTAGAGCTGAGCCGAGAGACAAAATAAGGAAGAAGAGCAAGTAGCTTTAGATAATTTATTTCTTTTGTGACACAAACACCTCTTCTTCTGGACACCGCAACTGGAAGAAAGAGTGTATCGTTGCTGGTTTTCTTGGGGTTCAACGATGTGGTCTGCAACAACCCAGTGCCACCCTTGTTTAAGGAGACCCAGAGCTGAGCCCACAAAACAGTAGCAATGTTTAGGGATATGCAAAGTATTTTGCTTTACTGTGGATTAAAAAAAAAAAAGAAACTCCTTCAATCAGAACATAAATTTTAATTCTTTTTTGTAACTACAACACTGTGCTGAAAGGAAAGACTTTTATGTTCTTATATTGCATTGGTTCTATTGTGTGCAGCTTTAAGTCTCTTTTTAGATAGATAAACCAGGATGATGATGATGATGATGATAATAATAATAATAATATGCAGTTTCTTGTAACATTCAGCCACCTCAGAAATAATGTATTTTTCTTTTTTCCCTTCCATCTCTCTTTCTCCTTCTTTCTTCCTCTCTCTCTCCTTCCTTCCTTCTTTCGCCTTCCTACTTTTTCTCTTTTTCACCTACCTTCCTTCCTTCCTTCCTTCCTTCCTTCCTTCCTTCCTTCCTTCCTTCCTTCCTTCCTTCCTTCCTTCTTTCTCCTTCCTTCCTTCCTTCTTTCTCTCTTCCATCCTTCTTTCTCCCTCCCTCCCTTCCTTCCTTCTCTCTCTCTTTAAACAAATAATTACCTTTTATGTCTGGTAAAGTTTGTAAGTTGAGAGAAAAGGTTTCTTTCACTTACAGCAAGGAAGAGTAATCATTCCTGATTTTGTAGTTACTTGCCTGGATAACAACAACAACAACAACAACCTTCTTACCCACCTCTCCCCACAGCTCGAGGTAGGTCACAGCACAGTTAAGAACACACAAATACTATATTCTACAAACACTCTTTAAAATTCAGTTCCATAAAAGATACAGATAAAAGCATTCCTGTAATCACACATTACAGAGACCAAACACCTCACCTTGACTATGGCAAGATAGATTGTCATGAACCACCTTCTGCACTTAAAGGAAAGGGGGGAAAGGAAGTCATGGTAAGGAAGAATAGATTCATCAATTATACAAAAGGCAGCAAAAAGGGCTGTGTTGGTGGTGGAAATGCAAACTATCGGACAAAGAAAGATATGGGCAGTAAAGAGGACAGATGGTACACAAGAATACCTTTGCCAAGGCTGCCTCACCTGTAGCAATCATCATGAAGGCCAAAACCAACACACTCCGGGATCCCCAGCAATGGCACTGAATGCTGTCTCTTCCATCTCTCTACTAAAAAAGGAGATTAAAAGTTTAGAGAGAAGTTTGAGAGAACAGAAGTAGACCCACCCAGGCTGACTATGTATTGCATTACTGTGAGAGTAGTGCCATGTAACACATGACATAATTGACCTTTTCCCTTACTCTGTTAAGAGAGTGAGTGAAGTTTGTCTCCTAATGCTATATTGGCTCATTCCCCAGTCTTACCGGTGACTTTCTTTGCGGCTCGCTGAAGGAAGTTTTGTTCATTGAAGATCATTCCGTCTTTCCAGTCCTAAGACAGAAGACTGTAGTTGGCAAGAATACACCTTTTTCTGCCTCTTCACCACATTATCTTTGATTACCAGTAAACATTTATATCCTCAAACACTGAACAGTATTCTTAGGCGGCAACAACAACACTTCCATTTTTGTTTTACAGATAGGAAATGGTGTAGTGGAAATGAAATGTACTTAGGGACATACAGAGGAAGGAAAACATCACTAGCGATGTTTTCCTTTTGAACCATAGGCAACAATAAGTGTGTTTAGTATCATTCAAATTCTGACATGAAGGGCATTAGATAAACAATCTGTCTTTTTTTCACTTTTTAAAGAAGAGAACTATTTGGTATACGTAGGGACAAAGCACCCATACAGTCACCCATACAGTAATCTCCCCATGGGGACTCAGGGCGGCTCACAACATAAAAGGCAAACATTCAGTGCCATAAAAGACAACAATAAATGAAACAAATCAAAATAAACAAAACAGACAATTTGACCAAAAACAACAACACAGAAAATACAAATCACATAAAAGCAATAGTGAAAAGTTACACAATATTAATGAAAACAAGGTTTGTGACTATATGGCAGTGTAGACTCAGGCCCCATCTACACTGCAATATAATCCAGTTTCAACCACATTATATGGTCAGTGTAATGCAGACTGAACTGCATTAAACTGGATTATATGAGGCCCCATCTGCACTGCCATATCATCCAGTTTGAACTGGATTATAGGGTCAGTGTAGACTCATATAATGCAGGTTGAAGTGCATTAAACCAGATTATATGATGTCCCATCTACACTGCCATATCATCCAGTTTGAAGCGCATTATAGTGTCAGTGTAGAGTCGTATAATGCAGATTGAACTGCACTAAATTTATTTATTTATTTACTGTATTTATATACCGCCTTTCTCACTCCTGGGGGTATTCGAGGCAGTTTACAACATGGTTTACAACATACTAATGGCAAAAATTCAATGTCAGCATACAGTACACAAAGAAATCATAATAACTAATTACTACATATAACTATGACCTTAAAATCAATTAAAACCACTAAACATAAGACATACATAACATTTAAACTGGATTATATGAGGCCCCATCTACACTGCCATATCATCAAGTTTCAGAATGCAGTTTAACTGAATTGCGCTGGATAATACGGCAGTGTAGTCATATAACCCAGTTAAATCTGCATTATATGAGTCTACACTGAGCATATAATGCAGTTGGAACTGCATTATATGGCAGTGTAGACGGGGCTGAAGTGGAAGCTTCCCTGATTATGCAGATTGGAGTTGCTATGCCTTACAAAGCTCACAAACCCACTCCATGTATATATCTAACCCACAATTTACTGGTGTTGCTCATTTCCCTCTGCATCCTCTCTTTCATTATTTAAGCCCTTGAGAAGTCATTAGGATTTCTTATTAAGCCCAGGAGAGGTTACAGATGGTTATGACTGAGCAGGTTGCCTGCAAGTTTAATTCAATGATGATTATCATTTAAATTTCAGAGAATAGGAAACAGAATAGGAAAGAACACACAGTTTAATAACTATGGAGATACATTTGAGTGTCTGAGTGCCAAAGATGGGGGATACAAAATGTAATTTCAAAGGGAAGCAGGGGACTGATTTGGGTTGAAAATGTTAGCAAGCCCTGATTATTCAAAGCCAGCCAAAGAATCAAAAGAACCCAGTCTTCAAAATAGAAAAAGTACCAAGATGAGATTCCAACCTGACTCCCTTTACCACACAAATTCCTGCCTGTTGCCATAAAGACTCTTGCTTCTGGCCTAACAAACAGCCACACTGGTCTAAGGTACAGAATCAGATTACCCAGCAGTCAAGAGTGTTAGTGTCCTCTACTAACTTGGGCCCTCCAGGTGTTTTGGACTGCAACTCCCACAATACCTAACAGCCTACTGGCTGTTAGGAATTGTAGGAGTTGCAGTGCAAAACACCTGGAGGGAGGGCCAAAGTTGGCCCAGGCCTACGATAGCCCTTCCTATTGCATTTGCCATTTTGGATTTGCCAAGCTTCCGTTTCAATAGTTCTGCTACACCTGACACAGAGATCTGGACTCACAAGTTTGAGGGTGTATCTCTGCTTAGGAAGGCAAGCTCCAGAGGCTGGCTCTGCTGTGGAAGGATGAAATACATTGATGGTTATGGATAAATACAGATCACAGTGCTTTTTGTGTTGCTTTTTTTAAAAGGAAGACCCTATCAAGCCACAAAAGCAAGTCAGTCATTGCAACATTACAAAATTTGAATCCTAAATAACATCAGGTTCTGACATGGTTTAGCAACAATAGATATCTCCAATCTCTACAAGTTGGGTGACTGTCTTTGTATCACAGGACTAGTTAAAGTTCTAGATTAAGTCCCCGAAGTGCTCATTATTATTCTTCCACCGTTACAAGTTGTTCATGAAGCAATGAATTGTCGAAGGCTTTCATGGCTGGAATCACTAGGTTCTTGTGGGTTTTTTCGGGCTATAGGGCCATGTTCTAGAGGCATTTCTCCTGACGTTTCGCCTGCATCTATGGCAAGCATCCTCAGAGGTAGTGAGGTCTGTAGGAATTAGGACAATGGGTTTATATATCTGTGGAATGGCTGGGGTGGGGCAAAGAGCTCTTCTCTGCTGGAGCTAGGTGTGAATGTTTCAACTGACCACCTTCATTAGCATTTGAAGGCCTGGCTGAGCCTGGGAAAATCTTTTGTTGAGAGGTGTTAAGATGTGCCTGGTTGTTTCCTCTCTGCTGTTTTGTTGTTGTAATTTTAGAGTTTTTTAATACTGGTAGCCAGATTTTGTTCATTTTCATGGTCTCTTCCTTTCTGTTGAAATTGTCCACATGCTTGTGATTTCAATGGCTTCTCTGTGTAGTCTGACATGGTGGTTGTGAGTGTGGTCCAGCATTTCTGTGTTCTCAAATAAAATGCTGTGTCCAGGTTGGTTCATCAGGTGCTCTGCTATGGCTGACTTCTCTGGTTGAAGTAGTCTGCAGTGCCTTTCATGTTCCTTGATTCGTGTTTGGGCAATGCTGCGTTTGGTGGTCCCTATGTAGACTTGTGGGCTAGGCAAAACAACCGTTAGGTGGATCTATAATTGGTAAGTGAACGAACCCAGAGGGTGATTCTCCCCAATGCTTCCTCCATCCTGGAAAGAAGGGACGAGTGGTGTGTCATAAGCAGGGTTCCGTCCTGTGCCCAGTTCTGTTCAACATCTTTACTAATTACTTAGATGAAGGGTTAGAAGGCATGATCATCAAGTTTGCAGACGACACCAAATTGGGAGGGAGAGCCAATACTCCAGAAGACAGGAGCAGAATTCAAAATGATCTTAACAGATTAGAGGTATGAATGGTCAAAACTAACAAGATGAAGTTCAACAGGGACATCAAGGAAAAAGAACTTACAAATTGGAATGCCGAACTTACGAGATTTATTTGGAGAGGGAAGAAACCTAGAATAAAGATGAAAAATCTACAAGACACTAAAAAAAGAGGAGGACTGGCTCTCCCAAACCTAAAATTATATAGAGAAGCAGCTATAGTGAATTGGCTAAAAGAATGGATTCATCTTGACAATCAAAGTCTCATAACTCTTGAAGGAGATACTTTAAAATTTGGCTTACATGCTTACTTAATTTATGGAAAAGTGGCAGAAGATCCAAATTTTAACAAACACTCAATTAGGAAAACCCTGATGAAAATTTGGAACAAATATAAAAAAACATTTTATACAAAAATACCACAATGGACCTCAATCCAGGAAGCTTTCAAACAAAGTCGAAACCCTAAAGGTAGTAAAAGATGGCCAACATATGTGGAAATACTCAAGAAATCACAAGGTAACCTCCAATTGAAAACACTGACAGAAATAAACCAACAAGGCTATAATATGAACTGGTTTGAATATGCACAAATACACCAACAGTATCAAAAAGATGTGCAGACAGGATTTGAACTAGAAAAGACAGATTTTGACAAGATACTACAATCAAGAAATAAACAACTCTCTAAGCTCTACAACCTCTTGTTAAAATTGCATACAGAAGATGAATATATCAAAGAATGTATGGTAAAATGGGCCAAAAACATTGGCCACTCGATCAGTTTAGATAATTGGGAATATCTCTGGAGTGTAAAAATTAAAATTTTCAGAAGCTATTAACTTCTGAAAAATTTCTATAAAATGTTTTATCAGTCCTATATGACACCTGCTAAATTAGCCAAAATGCAGCCACAATTAAAAAACACTTGCTGGAAATGTAAACAAGCAACGGGATCATTTTTCCATATGTGGTGGTCTTGCAAGAAGGCAAAAAGCTTTTGAATTAAAGTCCATAAAACTATTGAAAAAATATTAAAGCTAAAAATACCTATGCATCCAGAAATATTCCTACTAGGAATAACAGACAGATCACTGCTGAAGTCACATGACAAACTCTTCACCATGATGGTAACTGCTGCAAGAATCGTTTACATACGAGCCTGGAAATTGGAGGAAACACCGGAAATGGAGGAATGGATCGTGAAAGTGGCAGAAGTGGCAGAGATGGACATTTGACGGGATATCTCCAGTCAAAAGACCCTTCAGAATTTAGGAAAGACTGGGAACCCTTCAAAAGGTTTTTAGAAGGAAAGGCTATTTCAACATGGGGATTCCAAGACTGACGAATACAAAAGCCTGATTTTCATCAAATGGTTTGACTTCCTTCTGAAGAAAGAAATTATGAGGAATCTTTTGTTGATCTTTTGGTGTGACTTTCTTTTCCATGGTATATGTGTTATGGTGGAACTCCTGAGACGTGAATACTATGTGGATGTTTAGAAAAGGGATTATGTATGGTTGTCAAGAAAAGAAAGGGAAGGGAGAAAAAGGTGGGGGGGGGGGGGAGAAAAGAAAAGGGAAAGAATTAAAAAATATATGTAATACTATGTGGACAAGCTGGAATGCTATAAAGTAGAAAAAAGTGATTCCTGGAAAAATTAAATATGTTGGCATAATGCTAATGAAACATTCGATTATGATTTTGGACATCTTTCATTTTATGCAAATTGGGTTTTTGCAATTGTTTATGCCTGTATATGTAAAATAGTCTTGATATTACATCAATAAAAAAAACAAGAATGGGAGCAGGCAACAAAGTACTCTCTTGTGACTAGAGCTTTCTGTAAAATAGTCAGAAAGCTCTAGTCATAAGAGAGTACTTTGTTGCCTGCTCCCATTCTTGTTTTTTTTATTGATGTAATATCAAGATGTATTTGGACATACTCTGAAACCGTCTTGATCATGAAGATATATTTCTTGCCTTGTAAGGAATCTCCAAAAAAAACAAACAAACAAAAAAAAAACAGGGACAAATGCAAGACACTCCACTTACGCAGAAAAAATGAAATGCAAAGATACAGAATGGGGGACAATGTCTGGTTTGATAACAGTTTGTGTGAAAAAAGAACTTGGAGTCCTCATGGGGAACAAGTTAAACATGAGCCAACAATGTCATGTGGCGGCATAAATAGGAGTCTAGTGCCTAGATCCAGGGAAGTCATGCTACCCCTCTCTTCTTTCTTGGTCAGACCACACCTGGAATCACACTGTGTCCATTTCTGGGCACCACAATTGAAGGGAGATGTTGACTCTATGCTGGAATGTGTCCAGAGGAGGGCAACTAAAATGTTTAAGGGTCTGGAGAACAAGCCCTATGAGGAGTGGTTTAAAGAGCTGGCAAGTTTAGCCTGCAAAACAGAAGTTTAAGAGGAGACATGATGAGGGTGAGGTCATAGGGAGGAGAGAGCAAGCTTGTTTTCTGCTACCCTGGAGACTAGGATGAGGAACAATGGTTTCAAACTGCAGGAAAGAAAGGAGATTCCACCTGAACATTAGGAAGAACTTCCTAACTGTAAGGGGAGCTGTTCAGCAGTGGAACTCTCTGCCCCGGAGAGTGGTGGAGGCTCCTTCTTTGGAGGCTTTTAAACAGAGGCTGGATGGCCATCTGTTGGGGGTGCTTTGAATGTGATTTTCTTGCTTCTTGGCAGATTGGGGTTGGACTGGATGGCCCACGAGGTCTTTTCCAACTCTACTATTCTATAAAATCCTGGGCTTCTGTTACAGACCAATTAAAAGCTATTTCAAACAGGTAAGTCTTCATATTCTTCCTAAAGGATATGAGGGTGGGGGCTGCTCTAATCACTTCTGGCAGTGTGTGTGTGTGTGTGTGTATGTGTATGCGTGTGTGAAAGCCTTGTGGTGTTTGTTTTGCTGTCTGTTCCCCGGTTTGGAAGATTTTACTCACTTCCTGTCCATTTGAGATTTAGATTTTGGAAAATTTGGCTTGTTGTGGAAACAAGGCTTGGTGATGAAGCTTCAGTGGAGACCCTTTTTCACCAGGACAATATCTCCTGGAGCAGCGAGTTTCCTTTTCTAGGGGTATATTCCTCTAACTTCCTGTTGTCTCAGCCCTGATCTGAACTATGAACCATTTGTAAGTCGGATGTTTGTAACTCAGGGACTGCCTTTACTTCTAACACTTCTTTCTATGTGGCATATCAGATCCTGGTAATGCTATCTTAACCAGAAAGGAAAGTAAGATAGGATCGTATATGAAATGAAATGTTTTAGATTGGAAAACCTATCCATTTAATGTGTTGCCAAAGGTTTTCATGGCCAGAATCACTGGGGTTGCTGTGAGTTTTCCGGGCTGTCTGGCCATGTGTCAGAAGCATTCTCTCCTGATGTTTCACCCACATCTATGGCAGGCATCCTCAGAGGTTGTGAGGTATGTTGGAAACTAGGCAAGTGGGGCTTCTATGTATTCCTGTGGCATGATGTCCAGGGTAGGAGAAAGAACTACTGTCTTTTTGAGGCAATAATAAAACAAATAAGCCCCAAAATAATCATCGGCCTGAAATAAGTCCACAGAAATGGTTCTGGTGCACATATAAGGGCAAGTTATCTTAGTTTCACCATAAAGATAGACTTCCTTTCAGAAATTAGAGCATAGAACAGAACGGCATACTGGGTCCAATGTGTTATCCATGTAATCATATTTTGTACCTTCATAGATGAGTCCACTGTCGTCCTCGGCCAGAAGTTTTCTAAGAACCCAGTGTTTATCATTCAGGTCGGTCAGGATCTGGCCCTCAGGGAGAGGCCTCACACTTCGGCTCTTTTTGGGAGATCGGGGACTGGCTTTTGCTTTCCAAAATAAAGACAAATACGGGTTACTTGTATTTGCAAGCTCCTGCATCACTAGGGGAGACAGTGATGTTTGTTGTTAACAAAAAATAAAATGCAAACACTCTTTTGACCTTTGACCTGTGGGGTCTCACAAGGTTCCATTCTCTCCCCCATGCTCTTCAACATCTACATGAAACCACTGAGCGAGTCCATCCAAAGTTTTGGAATTGGGTGCCATCTGTATGCAGATGACACGAAACTCTACTACTCTTTTCCACCTCAATTCAAGGAAGCTCCCTGGATCCCGGACGGCTGGGAGGGCCTTTGCATAGTTAAAACTTGTGTGCCAGCTGCAACCATACCTTGAGAAGTCTGATTTGACCACTGTGGTCCAGTTACCTCAAGGTTGGATTACTGTAATGCTCTCTACATGGGGCTGCCTTTGAAGATGGCCCGGAAACTGCAGTTGGTACAAAGATTGGCGGCCAGATTGCTAACTGGAGCAAGTTACAGGGAGCAGTCAACCCCCCCTGTTTAAACAGCTTCACTGGCTGCCAATAATAAGTTTCCAGTCCCAATTTAAGGTGCAGGTTATTACCTATAAAGCTCTAAATGGTTCAGACCCTGCCTATCTTTGTGACCGCATCTTCCCCTACAAGCCCACACAACCTCTAAGGTCTTCTGGAGAGGCTCTTCTCTTGCTTGCACCCCCATCTCCCTGGATTCTACAGAACTGAGCCATGACAGTTAATACATTGTCAAACTGCTACAATTCCTCAGTGAGGATATGGCTTTATTGTGAGAGCAATTTGACAGTGGAATACACTGCCTTGAAACGTAGTGGGTTCTCCAGTTTTGGAGATCTATAAACAGAAGTTTGATGCCATTCACTCCTTCAGTCTAGAATGCCTCACAGGATTTTTGAGACTTCTTTTTCAAAGACACAATTTTACTGGGTTCATTGAAGGAGGAACAGGATAAAAGTGCAGTGAACTGAAGAAAAAGATCAAATTCAATGCAGGTAAATGAGCAAGAAATAGCTGAGAGCCAGTTAGGCGTGCTAGAATTTTCTCAGACAAACTGTAACCTTTGGAATGTCTTTTGGATTCATATGTACAGCACCCGGGGGGGAGAACCCAATTATGGTTCTGGGAATCCCTAAGAGACATGATGAAGCATTGCTATCTGTCAAAGGGAATCTTTGCAATCCTCACTTTGTGCCTTTGGAGACACAGTAGATGCTGATTTCTGTGCAAGAGCTCGTTTAGGTGAAGCAGAGGCTTTTTCTTTGTCTGGTAAAACCAACTCCACTTTTTTCATTGCAGCAGGTCTTTGCAGCTGATCCTGGATTTCCTGACTTAGTCCTGGGCAAAAACAAAGGTGACATTATCATAATGACAAAAGTTTGTTTTTTAAAAAGGTGAGCATGATGCCAGTAGTTCCAAAACATAGCATCTGAGGAGCCTGGCAGCAGCAAGAAGTAACATAGGTCTAGCATTCACATACCAAAATATTTTCCTTAGTTGTATCTTCCCTTCGTCCATTTTTGGATTGTCCAAATTTTTTAAATTGGAAAAATTTTTCACAGTGTATAAAACCAGAGATCTGTTCATTAAAAAAAACTGAAAAAGCAGAGCAACTGCAAATAAAGCTAGAGAACAAGAACACTTCATGAATGGTTTTCTGAAAGTCTCTTCATTTGCATCTTGCTTATAAAGACTTCTGGAATCTCAATGAACAGTATTTTGAGTCCCAATGCACAGCGGAAGTGAGCAAACAATTGGATTAGTATCAGAAGCATTTGTTCTTTGTTGTTATTAATCCCCTTTGGATTGACCATGGCTTCTGGCAATCCTATGACTGGGAGACCTCCACAATACCCAGTTATTAACAGCCTGGTTCACTTCTTGCAAACCAAAAAGCTACAACCAAACTCAAGGTTGTTTTAATCAATCAATCAATCAATCAATCTAGATTGTGCTCCAAATACCCAATTTTCTCAGCAGAAAAAGTGAACAACAGATTCCTAAACGAGTGTGATTCTAGAAGCATATGAACATGGGTAAAAACACTGTGAACATATACAAGGCAAGTTTAAACCTGAGTCTAATACAGGAAGTTGTCTTATCCTGGCTTCCTCAGAGAGAAACTTGGCAACAGCTTATTAGGGGAAATTGTTGCCTAGTAAGAATTTAACATGGAATTGGGCTGAACTACAAGGAACGTTGCTCACCAGTGGATAAATAATATGTAGCCAAGACTGCTTGTAAAAACTGCAGGACAATAAGATATGAGACATATATTCAACACCCTGGTTATTACTATAAGGGCAAATTCTTGCATTGTATGGGACTCCCTCCTGCAAATCTACATCAATGCACTTTGGATGGGAACATGTTGCACCTTGCCTTGGATAATAGGCAGCAATATTTGTCCACAGTCAAGTTCTTAAGATAAGTTGCTTCATAAAAAGGCCCAGCATAGTGTTTATACTCAGGGTGTTTGGGGAACAAGAAACATATGAGCAAAAGCGCAGCTCACAGAAGGCAATGTCCCACAGTCTTTGATAGATTTCAGTGCCATGTCATAACCCAAATGAGATAAGAAAGTGAAGTAAGATTGATAGAAGAGGCTCTTTTAGAGTTAAGCTTGAACCAGTTGCTAGTGTAATCATCCTGGGCTAGGTGGTGAATCAGACCTGAGCCCAGCTTGAAAACACTGACCTTAATCCAATATTTAATGACCCACCACCAAGCTCTTGTTGACAGAGGGATTTCCCTAGAGTCTAATAGCAAGACACAGGATTGCACAACTGAAGGTTGTAGCTTTTCTGGTTGTCTGTTCAGCTGTAGTGTGATCTCCCTCTTATTGTCTTCTACCTTAGGCCCCTTCTACACAGCTGCATAAAATCCACACTGAACTGGATTACATGGCAGTGTGGACTCAGGTAATCCAGTTCAAAGCAGATATTGTGGATTATTTGCCTTGATATTCTGGATTATATGGCTATGTGGAAGGGCCCTTAGACAAAACATTGATGTATTTTCTAATGAGCCATATCTTCCAAAGCACTGCAGTCTCAGCCTAGACATCTTTCTCAGGGCAAACAGAATGGCCCCGCACTATGCTTTCATCCCACCTGGACACAACTGTAGAAACTAGTCTATTCAATTCTAAGCTACTAAATACTCCTTTTGGCCTTCAGATACACCATGTTAATGTTTTAGAGATCTACATTTATACCTTTTAGTGAAGAAGATGGTGTGATTTGCATAGGCTCCTCTTCTTGTTTAGGCAACCGGCCTCCGCAAGAAGGGCAGAAGTTAAACACTGCCTGTGCTTCCTGCCCGCACTGTGGACAAAAATGAGCCATTCTGGGAGGAAAAAATCAAGAAGAAAAAGAGAACAATGTGTTGCATTTGTATATTTCTATTGCAATGTGGCATTGAATGATTGCCAAAACTGTAAGCTGCTCTGAGTCCCCTTTGGAGTGAGATAGAGCAGGGTCGAAATATAGTAAATAAACAAACAAATCAATGTCAAAATAGAAAAACATATCTTAATCCGAATTTGGAGGCTACATCATCTAGATGGGGCTCTTTTGTCTACGAAGATATTAATTGTTGCTTTAATATAACACAATGAAAAACATTAAAAACAACAGAGAACAGAAGCAATTGCCTACCCACACTATAAAAATAAATAAAGCCTTTGAGGGAAGACAAAAGCAGAATAATCTTGACAAGAAAATGCTATGATTGGGTCATCCTAAGTCTGAAATGACTTGAAGGCCCACAACAACAACAACAACCACAACAAACGACAGCCCAGCCCCCCAACAGTCTGAAGTCTTGACCCTCTGTTTAAAATGGTTTAGATGGAACCCTGTGCTTCAAAATGTGTCTCTGCACCATTCTACATCACTATTGATAAAGCTAATGCCAATTTCCAGCAGATGAAGTTGACTGTATTGTGGTGCAGAAGGATCTAAACATTCCTAGAGAATGTCTGGATTAAATTACCGTGAGTAGTTGAATCTGCAAACATGAAATCCGTAAACGTGGAGGTCTGGCTGTACACTTGAATGAAACAGACCCATTGAATTCATGGGATTTACCCTATGTCGGTTGACTCATCATTCTACACTTGATCTTAGCCAAAAGGCCAAGAAGCAGATTGAATGAGTCTACTCTAGCTGTGACTAACAGGATTTCCAGCCAATATCAGGCAACTCTGACAAAACACCAATCCCAAAAAAATCTCAAAAAGGAAGACAATATATACGTTATTTCCAACTGAAAACAGTTCTCAATCTACCATCATTTCAAGTCCTGATTGAGTGAGCATCCTTTACTGGGGTCCTATCTTCGAGACATCTCCTTATGTACATATGTAAAAATACAGGCATTCCCTTTTAAAAAAACAAAAACAAAACAAAACCTAAATACTTCTGTATCTGCTTCCTGTTCACTCCGCCTATTTGTTCTCTAATCTGTCTCTGATCTGTCGTAAAGTGGAATTTATTCAGAACCATTTTCAAGCTTGTTAAAAAAATGAAGTTTCAAGTTACTGTTTCAAACAGTTTTAAAACTGGATGCTAGGATTGTTTTTGACTCCTTTTATGAGTTTTTAAAAAGTTTTTTTTGTTTAAATTCTCTTTGTGTTGTTTTAACTGGGAGGCGATACGGAAATGCTATAAATAAATAATTAGGCATAAGGAAAAGCATGTAATATTTGCACTTTCTTTCCGGGTACAAATTCACAGTATATAAATCCCAATATGGCTCAGGTCCCAGCTGTTCGGCAGATCGTTTCTTCCTGTGAGATCCCCAGGAGAAGCCCTTCCTGCTTTGAGCTGGACTTTATGAATCAGATTCAAAGGCGATAATCTGGATTCACAAACTGGGTTATAGGGCAGTGTAGACTACAACCAGGGTTCTTTGGGAGAATTTGGGGTAAAGGATGTCCAAACTGTACTTTTTAACACCAAAACATGTATTTAAAATAATGATAGATACATAGCCACTTGGGGCCTCCTTCAGGAGAGATAAAGTGGGTATAAAGAAATATAACAATAATATAATACATGTAATAATATAATAAATAATAATATAATATATAATAATAATAGATACATGGCTTCTTGGAGTCTCCTTTGGGAGAGATAAAGCAGGGTATTAATAAACATAATAACAATAATAATCTATACACATAATAAAAGTGAAAATATGTCCACTTACACAGACAAGCTTCCACAAACAGTTACACCTTCCTCTACTCAGGAGGCAGCAATAGCCGTCTCTTCAGTGACATTGTGGGTTATAGTGAGCACCATGAACATGTACAAGAGCCCGCCAATGTTCTCCACAAACACCATACTGTCCACCACCCAAGTGAAGGCTTTCATACAGGAACAATTTCATACTAGATTTTCTGTTTTTCCTCCACCACAGACATCCAAGTGTTTCTTACTCTCTCCATTGGTGTGGAATTTGCATGATCCCGCCCACTGCCTCTCCCATAACCCTTTCCTATTGGGTTGTAGTAGGTTTTTTCGGGCTATATGGCCATGTCCTAGAGGCATTCTCTCCTGACGTTTCACCTGCATCTATGGCAAGCATCCTCAGAGGTAGTGAGGATGCTTGCCATAGATGCAGGCGAAACGTCAGGAGAGAATGCCTCTAGGACATGGCCATATAGCCCGAAAAAACCTACTACAACCCAGTGATTCCGGCCATGAAAGTCTTCGACAATACCTTTCCTATTGTTTTCTATAGCACACAGCAAACAGTGGAATTGATCAGCAACTGAACATACTAGAGGGGTTTGGGGAGATGATTTATAGTTGTATAATTCACCTGCAATCTAAGAGCACTCTAAACTCCACCAACGATGGATCTGGAACTAACTTGGCGCACAGAACACCCACAACCAACAAAAAATACCAGAAATCTTTGGATGGATTCATAGCAGTTGTAGTTCACCTACATCCAGAGTGCACTATGAACCCAAACAATGATAGATCTGGACCAAACTTGGCATGCATGTCTGATATGCCCAAATTTGAATACTGGTGGATTTTGAGAGAAATTGGCCTGGACATTTTGGAGTTGTAGGTACTGGGATTTATAGTTCACCAGCAATCAACACTCACTCTGAACTCCACCAAAGATGGAATTGGACCAAACTTGGCAGACAGAGCCCCCCATGACTAGCAAAAAATACTGGAAGTCTTTGGGGAAAATTCACCTTGATTTGGGAGAGCTGTAGTTCACCTACACCCAGAAAACACTGTGAACCCAAACACTGATGGATCTGGACCAAACTTGGCACACATACCTGATATGCTGAAATTTGATTCCTAATCCATCTAAAACACAGATGGACTGTCACCTTGTCGTGGTGAGGGGGCTTGCGCGTTCCAATGAACCTGTAGGCACAACAACTGGAGTCGTGCACTCCCAGGAGTGGCCGCGGGGGAGGTTCCAGACCAAGCACAGTCCGAAGACCCAAAGACCTCAACGGCGGAGCAGGCGGAGGATAACATGGTACATGTTACAACGGCTGCGAAGGCGAAGAAGGCTGCAACAGACTGAGAAGCCACGGTCATTGTGTTAAACTACATCACCAGTGGAACCTCACTCTGTGAAGTCTGTGTGTTGATCAGTTGTGCACTGACCTCCACACATTAAAAAAACCCACGCACAGGCGTCTTCCAAAGAAAATAAAAACAAGCCAACCAAAGTCCCATGGCGATCAGCGAGTGGCGACGGGGGCAGGACTGTGAAATCTGGAAGCCCCTAGTCACAGACTGGCACATGGGCGGTGGGTACGGACTCAGTCGTTCTACCTCAAGGTCCGAGGCAGTTGAGTAGTTCGGCAGCTGTATCCGCGACTGAGCAGCCCTTTTTAGGACCCACTCTGCTCACCCACACGGGGAGGGGGCTAGAAAAGGTGCCCTAAACATAGTCTGCCTCACTTATCCCTGACTGGGACTGCCGCGTCCAGTGGGGTCACCACCCTGCGGCCAAAAAAGGAAAATGAACTTCGGTACGTGGAACGTACGGACTCTGATGGACAACAGTGGCAGTGAACGCCCCGAACGCAGAACTGCCATCATTGCAAGGGAGCTGGGACGCTTCAACATCGACATAGCAGCCCTTCAGGAGACCCAGAGAGCAGGAGAGGGACAGCTGAAGGAAGAAAAAGGAGGCTACACCTTCTTCTGGAAGGGACTGCCCGAAAAAGACCAAAGAATGCACGGAGTTGGCTTTGCTATCAGAAATGATCTGATGAAACATCTGTCCGAAGCACCAACTGGCATCAACGAACGACTCTCCACCCTCCGAACTGATCTTGCCAAAAACCAACGGGCAACCATCATAAGTGCCTATGCACCAACACTAGATGCTGACGAAGACATCAAGGAGAAATTCTACTGTCAGCTGGACACCGTCCTATCGGGGATACCTAAGGAGGACAAAATCATCCTCCTGGGGGACTTCAATGCAAGAGTTGGGCGAGACTTCGACCTGTGGCCAGGAACCATCGGAAAAGACAGGGGTTGGAAACAGCAACTCAAATGGCATCCTGCTTCTCACCAAATGTGCGGAACACAACCTTGTCATCACCAACACGCTCTTCCGCCAGAAAAACAAGTTCAAGACATCATGGAAGCACCCCCGGTCAAAGCATTGGCACCTCTTAGACTATGTAATCACACGCGCCAGAGACCGCCGTGATGTGCTCCTCACAAGAGCCATGACAGGTGCTGACGACTGCTGGACTGACCACAGGCTAATTCGATCCTCGATGGCTATCAAGATCGCTCCCAAGCGCAGACTCCAAGGAAGGAAGACAAGGTGCAAAATGAACACCCAAGCCCTTCAGGAGCCCTCCAGACGAGCCCATCTCCAAACAGCACTCAAGGACCATCTACCCACAGTACCCCCCGAAAGTGTCGAGGAACATTGGAACAAACTGAAGACCTCCATCATCCAAGCCTGCGAAGAAACTATTGGATACCAAGCCAAGAAACATCAAGATTGGTTTGACGAAAATGACAGAGATCCAACAGCTAATTGACAAGAAAAGGGAAACCTTCCAAACATGGCAGAGAGACATCAACTGTGCTGCTAAGAAAAAGATCTACGCCAGTGCAAAAGCTGAGGTCCAAAGAAGGACAAGAGAACTCAAGAACATCTGGTGGACAAAGAAGGCTAAAGAAATCCAACACCTGGCAGATACCCATGATGCTCAGGGATTTTTCAAAGCCACAAAGGTCATCTATGGACCAAGAAACCATGGCATACAGCCTCTACGCTCATCAGACGGAACCAAACTCCTGAAGGACCAAAACTCAATTGCTCTACGTTGGAAAGAACACTACCAAAGCCTCCTGAACCGCTGCTCCAATGTGGCCGAAGAGGTCCTCTCACAAATCCCACAACAACAAACCAGGGATGAGCTTGCAGCACTGCCTAGTTTGGAAGAAGTCAGCAATGCCATCAGCCAACAGAAGAATAACAAAGCCAGTGGACCAGATGGGATCCCTGCTGAAATCTTTAAAGAGGGAGGACCTGAGCTGACACACAACTCCACCAGCTCATAGAAAAAGTGTGGGTGACCGAGAAAATCCCAGCAGATTTCAAGGATGCCACCATCATCATCATCCTCTTCAAAAAGGGGGAAAGAACAGACTGCAGAAACCTTTCAACCTCCGCTGGGAAAATTCTCGCAAGAATCCTTGCAAATCGCCTTCTACCCCTCTCAGAAGACACCTTCCCAGAATCTCAGAACGGCTTCCGCCCCTCCAGAGGAACCGTGGACATGATCTTCACTGCATGACAGCTCCAAGAAAAATGCAGAGAACAAAACCAACCTCTGTACATGGCATTCATCGACCTTGCAAAGGCATTCGACACAGTGAATCGCAGCGCTCTCTGGACCATCCTCCACAAAATCGGGTGCCCAAACAAATTTGTGAACATCCTGCGGCTCCTCCACGATGACATGATGGCAACAGTCTTGGACAGCAGTGGCTCCCAAAGTGACCCATTTAAGGTGGAATCAGGTGTCAAACAGGGATGTGTTATTGCCCCAACTCTATTCTCCATCTTCATCGCTATGATACTTCACCTTGTTGATAGGAAGCTTCCCACCGGAGTGGAAATCATCTATCGGACAGATGGCAAGCTATTCAACCTCAGCAGACTGAAAGCCAAAACCAAGGTTACAACAACATCTGTTATAGAACTCCAGTATGCTGATGACAATGTCATCTGTGCGCATTCAGAAGAAGATCTACAAGCCACTCTAAACACCTTTGCAGAAGCATATGAGAAGCTCAGCCTGTCATTGAACATCGAGAAAACCAAAGTGCTCTTCCAGCAGTCACCAGCCAATCCCTCTCCAATGCCAGAAATACAGCTTAATGGTGTAACATTAGAAAATGTTGACCATTTCCGCTACCTTGGCAGCCACCTCTCCACAAAAGTCAACATTGACACTGAAATACAACCCTGAGCTCTGTGAGTGCAGCATTTTCCAGAATGAAGCAGAGAGTGTTTGAGGACCGGGACATCCGTAGGGATACCAAGGTGCTTGTCTATAAAGCTATGCCCTCCCAACCCTGCTATATGCCTGTGAGACGTGGACTGTCTACAGACGTCACATGCAGCTCCTGGAACGTTTCCATCAGCGCTGCCTCCGGAAAATCCTGCAAATCTCCTGGGAAGACAAGCGGACAAACGTCAGTGTGCTGGAAGAAGCAAAGACCACCAGCATTGAAGCGATGGTCCTCCAACATCAACTCCGCTGGGCCGGCCACGTTGTCCGGATGCCTGACCACCGTCTCCCAAAGCAGTTGCTCTACTCCGAACTTAAGAACGGAAAACGGAACGTTGGTGGACAGGAAAAGAGATTTAAAGATGGGCTCAAAGCCAACCTTAAAAACTCTGGCATAGACACTGAGAACTGGGAAGCCCTGGCCCTTGAGCGCTCCAGCTGGAGGACAGCTGTGACCAGCAGTGCTGCAGAATTCGAGGAGGCACGAGTGGAGGGTGAAAGAGAGAAACGTGCCAGGAGGAAGGCGCGTCAAGCCAACCCCGACCGGAACCGCCTTCCACCTGGAAACCAATGCCCTCACTGCGGAAGAAGATGCAGAGCAAGAATAGGGCTCCACAGCCACATACGGACCCACAAGGAAATCCATAATGGAAGACCATCTTACTCGTCCAACGAGGGATCGCCTAAGTAAAAGTAAGGGGGGGAACTCACTTTCCCGAGTTGTAATTTATCCACAACCAGAGAAACGGTGACCTCCACCAATGATGGACCAAACTTGGCACACAGAACCCCCATGACTAACTCAACCTACTGGAGGGGATTGAGGGGACTGATTCACCATAGTGGGAGTTGTAGTTTACCCTACAGCCAGAGAGCATACTGAACCCCACCAATGATGCATCTAGTGCAGTGATTCTCAACCCGTGGGCCACGGCCCAGCCATGGGCTGCGAATAATGAAAATATGGTCTGCAAACCTCCTTCCTCTTATTTTATTTTATTTCTACTCCTTTCTGCAGAGCTGTCCAGCCCTGCCCCTTTTGGTACTAATGCTGGAGAGTGGTCCCTGGTCAAAGTGGTCTCTGATCAAAGTGGTCCCTGGTCAAAAAAGGTTGGGAACCACTGATCTAGAGCAAATTAAGTACTGATGGGGCTTTTCAGGGTTAACCTGGCATAATGTTAGTTGTAGTTCATGCACAACCGTATGCATTTTGTACAATTAAACAATTAACTTTTTCAAATAACCCGGGCAATGCCGAGTACCCAAGGTAGAGTATAATAATAATAATAATGATAAATACTAATAATAATATAACGCAACAAAGAACTGGTGGGATAACAAGTCCGGGGAGGCCCTGCTCTCGATCCCGCCTGCGTCACAGGCACGGCTGGCGGGGACGAGAGATAGGGCCTTCTCGGTGGTGGCTCCTCGGCTGTGGAACACCCTTCCCGTGGACATCAGGCTAGCTCCCTCCCTGTTGATATTCCGCAGGAAGTTAAAGACCTGGCTGTTTAAGAAGGCTTTTGAACAAGAAGTGCAATGACTGGTAATTTGACTATAGGAATGGAACAACGGAAATGTTATTGGATTGTGGTTTTGACGATGAGACGATTCGGAATGGCTTCTGTAGTAATGTTGATGTTTTGATAAGATGTTTTTTGATAATAATGAATTGTGGATTATTTTACACTATGTTTTGTATTTTGCACCTGTTTTCTATGTTGTACACCGCAATGAGTTGCCCTTGGGCTGAGAATTGCGGTAAATAAGCGAAGTAAATAAAATAAAATAAATAAATAAATAAATAACAAGCCTGAAAAGGTTACAGAAAATGAACATGTCAAACTACTCTGGGACTTCCGAATTCAGACTGGCAGAGTTTTGGAGCCCAATACTCCTGACCTCACAATCATGTTAAAAAACAAAGTATGGATTGTCAATATTGCAATCCCAGGTGACAGCAGGATTGCAGAGAAACAACTGGAAAAGCTGACACAATATGAGGATTTAAAAATCGAACTGAAAAGACTCTGGCACAAGCCAGTCAAGGTGCTCCCAGTGGTGATCGGCACACTGGGTGCAGTGCCTAAAGACCTTGGTTTGCACTTAAACACAATGGGTGCTGACAAAATTACCATCTGCCAGCTGCAGAAGGCCACCTTACTGGGATCTGCACGCATTATTTGCTGATACATCACACAGTCCTAGACACTTGGGAAGTGTCCGATGTGTGATCTAATACAACAGCCAGTAGAGTGATCTTGTTTGCTGCGGACTCATCTTGTTGTGTTTCAAATAATAATAATAATAATAATAATAATAATAATAATAATAATAATAATAATAATAGAGAATACATAGCCACTTTGAGTCTGCTTCAGGAGACATTAAGCAGAGTATGAATAAAGATAATAACAATAATAATAATAAAATCGATACATAGCCGCTTTGAGTCTTCTTCGGGATAAAGATAAAGGGGTACAAATAAATATAGTAGTAGTAGTAGTAGTAGTAGTAATAATAATAATAATAATAATAATAATAGATAATAGCTGCTTTGAACCTGCTTTGGAAGAGATAAAGCGAGGTATGAATAAACATAATACTATTATTACTACTACTACTACTACTACTAATAATAATATAAAGTAATAATAATAGTAATAATAATACATTGTAATATCAGTAATCGATACATAGACACTTTGAGTCGCCTTCAGGAGAGATAATAATAATAATAATAATAATAATAATAATAATAATAATAATAATGGAGACATAGTCCTTTCTTTCTGGAGGCCTGCTTGCTTCCTTGACGCACCTGCCGCACGCAGGCTTCCCCCTCTTCGCCGTCTGCTGCTTCTCCGCCGCCTTTCCCGGCCCGGCGCGGGCCCTCTTGCCCGGCAGCCGTTGCATGGCGCCCGGGAGAACTCTTCACGCGACTCCCCGGCCTGAGAAGCCTCGCTTCAGAGGTAGGCGCTAAGGGATATGGGAGGGAGGGAGGAGGCCGGCCTATCAGGAGCCAAGAAGCGCCTGCAGGCCCGCCCACAATCCCTCCCAACAGCCGGCATCGTCATTATTATTATCATCAATATCATCATCATATTATTATTATTTTATATTATTACATTTTATTATGCTATTTTTATAATATCATTATATTGATTTTCTAAATTATTAAACCGATTAGTTTATTATTATAATGGTTATTTTATTGTTTTTGTATTAATGACTACAGTAATTATTTTATTATTTTTATGACTATCATAGTATTGCATTCTATTATTAATTAATTATTTTATTGTTACATTATTTTATTATATTAATATATTATTTTAATATTTATATTATTTTATTTTGTTTATATTATTTTATTTGCGGGCTTCAGGAAAGGCAAAAGCTACACATCGCAAGTGTTGAACCTGACTCAGCACATAGAAGATGCTCAGTTCTTGTGGGTTTTTTCAGGCTATATGGCCGTGTTCTAGAGGCATTTCTCCTGACGTTTCGCCTGCATCTATGGCAAGCATCCTCAGAGGTGAGGTCTCTGAGGATGCTTGCCATAGATGCAGGCGAAACGTCAGGAGAAATGCCTCTAGAACATGGCCATATAGCCCGAAAAAACCCACAAGAACCTAGTGATTCCAGCCATGAAAGCCTTCGACAATACATAGAAGATGGCTTTGAAAGGCAGCAGATCACAGGAGCTGTCTTCATAGACCTGTCAGCACCCAATGACACTGTAAAGAATCACCTTCTCCTGAGAAAAATGTATAATATCATAAAGGATTACCACCTCACCTGCTTCATAGGAAATCTGCTACAAAAGAGCAGTTTTTTTGTTGAGTTCCAGGGCCAGAGAAGCAGATGGCGGAAACAGAAGAACGGCCTGCCTCAGGGGAGCGTGCTTGCTCCATCCATGTTCAACATTTACACAAATAACCAGCCACGGCCAGAAGGGACAGAGAGTTTCATCTATGCTGACGATTGTGCCATCACTGCCCAAGCAGGGACCTTTGAAATGGTTGCATAGAAGCTCTCCGAAGCTTTAGGCGCTCTTACTGTCTATTACAGGGAAAACCAGCTGATTCCTAACCCATCTAAAACACAGAAGTGTATTTTTCACCTTAAGAATAGAGAAGCATCTCGAGCTCTGAGGATTACCTGGGAAAGAATCCCACTGGAGCACTGCAGCACACAAAATAATTGGGAGATACCCTGGACCATGTTCTGACTTACAAGAAGCACTGCTTGACTATCAAGCAAAAAGTGAACTCTAGAAATAATATGATACGAAAGGTAACTGGCACAACCTGGGGATCACAACCAGACACAGTGAAGGCATCTTCCCTTGCTCTTTGCTACTCTGCTGCTGAATGTGCATGCCCAGTGTGGAACACATCTCACCACGTTAAAACAGTGTATGTGGCTCTTAATGAGACATGCCGCATTATCACAGGATGTCTACATCTCACACCACTGGAGAAATTATACTGTTTGGCCAGTATTGCACCACCTGACATTCACTGGGAAGTAGCAGCCAACAATCAAAGGACTAAGGCAGTGACATCTCTGGCCCATCCCCAGTTCAGATATCAGCCAGCACACCAACGCCTTAAATCAAGAAATAGTTTTTTTTAGATCTACAGAGATACTCGCAGGAACACTTCAGCAAGTGAGAGTCCAAAAGTGGTAGGCTCAAACCCGGAACCTCAAGCCATGGCTGATACCGAATGAGAGAATCCCTCCTGAGCACACAGAATAGATGACTTGGAAGGCACTGAACAGACTGCGTTCTGGCACCATGAGATGCAGAGCTAACCTTAAGAAATGGGGCCACAAAGTGGAGTCCACGACATGCGGGTGTGGAGAAAAGCAAAACATAGACCACCTATTACAATGCAGTCTGAATCCTGCCACATGTACAATGGAGGACCTTCTTATAGCAACACCAGAGGCACTCCAAGTGGCCAGCTACTGGTCAAAGGACATTTAGTATCATGCCAAGTTTTTAAAACTTTGTGTTTTTTAAATACATTGCAACTGTACTCTCGGTTTGCTTCTGACAATACAAATAATGCAGGCTGAGCCCTGCCACATGCACGATGGAGGACCTTCTTGCGGCAACACCAGAGGCACTCCAAGTGGCCAGATACTGGTCAAAGGACATTTAATCAGCTACCAAGTTTGCAAAATTTGTGGGGTTTTTTAAATCTGTTTGTTTGTTTTGTTCTGTTAGAAATGTAATACAATGTTCTGGTTGCGGATTACACGATAAATAAATAAATAAATAAATAAATCCCCTTGAAACACAGGTGGCTCCTGGAGCCTTCACAGGCTCCAGATTATCTACAATTGAAATCGCTTTGAATCCTTAGACCCTGAAATGAAGATTAGCATCATTCCTGAACATCAAGTTATAGCAGAGTGGGAGTTGCCTGAAGTTAAATATCAGTTTATAACAAGGTCTGAATTAGACAACCTGCTAAATAATCACTGCTGTGATATTATTGGACTTGTGCAATATGTAGGAAGGACTCAATGCACAAGGAAAAGGGAACATGGAGAGGATTTTTGGATGAGTCGCTGTGTGCATTTTATCAATGGGACCTCAGAGCAGCCCTTCATACTGGAATTGTTTGCTACATGTCAACCAGATGTATTTGAAGGAATTCACCCAATGACATACTTGGTATGTACACAGCTGCGGGTGATACGAGATGAAGCTGAGAATGGCTCCTCTACAGTTTACCTGACCACTAGTAATGAAAGTCAGGTATTTAGCACAAAGACCAGCCATATACAAAAGATACCAAAGTGAAAAACTTTATTCAATGGATTAGAACACAGAGGCAAGCTTCTCATATGGAGAGAATGGCCATTAGTGGATATTACTCTTTCCCACCAGTCCAACCAGATGATTGCATTACATTTCTAACAGAACAAAAAACAAACAAACAGACACAAAACAAAATTTGCAAGCTTGGTAGTTGATTAAATGTCCTTTGACCAGTATCTGGCCACTTGGGAGTGCCTCTGGTGTTGCCGCAAGAAGGCCCTCCATTGTGCATGTGGCAGGGCTCAGGTTGCATTGCAGCAAGTGGTCAGTGGTTGCTCCTCTCCACACTCGCATGTCGTGGATTCCACTTTGTAGTCCCATTTCTTAAGATTGGCTCTGCATCTCGTGGTGCCACAGCGCGTTCTGTTCAGCGCCTTCCAAGTCGCCCAGTCTTCTGTGTGCCCAGGAGGGAGTCTCTCATTTGGTATCAGCCATTGGTTGAGGTTCTGGGTTTGAGCCTGCCACTTTTGGACTCTCGCTTGCTGAGGTGTTCCAGCGAGTGTCTCTGTAGAACTTAGAAAACTATTTCTTGATTTAAGTCGTTGACGTGCTGGCTGATACCCAAACAAGGGATGAGCTGGGGATGTCACTGCCTTGGTTCTTTCACTATTGGCTGCTACTTCCCGGCAGATGTCAGGTGGTGCAATGCCGGCTAAACAGTGTAATTTCTCCAGTGGTGTAGGGCGCAGACACCCCGTGATTATTTAAAATGAAACAAAGTCAAGGAGTGAAGGAAGAAGCAACACATTCCTTTAAAAATAGCAAAGAAATAGCTGGTGTGCCTGTAAGAGTCCAAGCATAGAGGATGTGCCGTAAAGCACTCTCTGGGTAGCAAAGACAACTTAACACAACACTTAAACAACAGCAGCATTTTCCCAGAAAGCCTCCCTTGTAAATTTAATGACACACATTATGTGACAATACAGTCTTCAGACAGTCAGATGCAAACCCAGAGTGTGTAACAAATGGAGAAGCAGGTACCTTTGAAAATGTATCCTCCTGAATACTATGAAGTGGCTATTCTTCTGATAAATCACATTGCTGTAGATGTTGCTTTCCTTCCCGTATATTGTCCTGAAGACTCCCATTTATTTCATGGAAAAGGTACAACCAGTTCTGTAGTGTGCCTCAGACAAGTGGTACTTCATGTCAACAAGAGTATTAACAATGAAGGGCATCCTGAAATATTTCCATTTACAGATGTAGTTGCAAAAGCCGCTGCTGACCTGGAGAAACATGTCATCTGTATCCTGGATATCTGTTCTGAAGGCGAAGGTCTTTGAGGTCTTTCTGAACAAAGTGTACTAAGTCAATGTAGCAAACCAAACATAGTTTATGAAGGATCAGATGGTGAAGAGGAATTAACATGTATTTCAGCATTTTCCTGCTACTGCTTGAGAAAAGCTTACTTAGCCAGCAGGATTGCAAAAGGAAGTCCCTAATCATTGGCTCCTAGGAAGATGCTTTTCTGTAAAAAGGTACATTGCCAAATGGTTCATCGTGACATCTTTCTTTGAGTGTTGGGTTGCAAGACAGGCCAAACACTGTCCTGTGAATAGATCTTTGCACAGGTAGAAAAAAATTGGCCAATTAAGAACTGCATACTTAATTGGTTGGCATCTAAGCTTGATGATGTTCCCAAACTTTTACCACAATAGTGAATTCTCTCTGTGATTTTTCTGAAAGCTTCCAAGTATCACTGAAGTGAAATGAGACCTGTCAAGAAAGAACTGCTAAAATTAGATTGTCCCATTTCATCTTCTTACTGACAATTTGAAGGAATTGGGAGGAACAAAGAAAATGTGTAAGGTTTCTGAATCTACACTGTGATCTCCTGGTTTCTGAAAATGACTATTTTCTTAAAGAAGCCAACATTACCTAAGGCTGGGAGGGGTTCCCTTTTTGTTATCCAGGCCTTTTGTTTGCTGGGCCAAACGAGAATAATTATACTGTCAGTTGTGTTTTTATAACATCTCTCTGCCCTGCAAAGCTGGTCATTTCCAAGCACAACATTCAAATGAGAAATTATCATTTGACTCCTTTTGTAGAAATGGAAATGAAGTGAAGCTGCTGTTTATGTAGACCTTGTGGTTATCTCAGCCCCGGGAAATTTTTCAGATAACGCCTTCAGAAGGGCATTATCTGCTGTGCAATACAAATGAAGAGCAAAGTACGCGTGTCTGTGCACATAGATATGTAGGTACACAAAAAGAAATGTTGAATCTGTATATGAGTTAGAACAAGGATATTTTTGAAGTGTAACCCCAATCATTCTCTCATTCATTTATACACACACACATCAGTTCCCAAGCTACGAACAAGATCGGTTTTGTAGCTTTGTTTTTTGTAGGTAAGTCGGAATGGGGGCATTTTTAAGTGTAACTCTAGCTTCTCTTTCTATACACACACACACAGGCAGTTCCCAAGTTGCAAACAAGAGAAGTTCTGCAGGTTTGTTTTTAAGCTGATTTTGTATGTAAGCTCTTTAAGATACAATACACAAACCTTTTATCTGAGCGCTGTTACCCATAAACAAAGTCTGAAACCAATTTTTTAATATAAAAATTGTTTGCTTTTATAAAAAAATATCACCACTAAGCAACGTGAACTGTCATTGACATTACTATCTTTAAAAAGGACTCATTTAACCTGTCCAGTGTTTTCTTTTTTATCTTCAAAATTGTGTAGTCATTAGGAAGTGCACACATTTTGTACCATTGGCATACATTCTAAAGGAGGCACAATTCATCAAAGAAACCAGACCCTGTTGTGGATAGATCCCTCTCTAGGCAAAGCAGAGGATGTTGTTCAAAATCTCTTTTCCCCAGTACAACAATCACAATAACAGGGATTGTGCCATCAAAGTGTTGCTCACACACAGATCAGAGGTTAGTCCAACAGAACAATGATCAAGCCCATAGATCCATGATAACTGAATTCAGATTGCAGGTATACCAGTTTGGAGAGACAGCCCATTCCATAGTTTCTGCAAACAATGAGCTATAGGGCATCAGATATAATAGGAATCAAACATTCTTCACCCTTAATTTGGGTAAGATTCATGGGTTTAATGACTGTCATCACATTCCTTTGTAGGGTAATCAATCCCTTTGAGACTGGGAGAGAATCAAGACATGAAAGGACTATAGTTTGGCATCTTAAAGGCACAGGTACAATAAAAAAGGAAACAAATATATAAGGATTTTTTTTTTAAAAGCACAAAAAATCCAATGCTTATTCCCAGAGAGTCGTTTTCCTACCAATCCATGACAATGGCCACCGTTTTGCTTAAAACAAAAATAGCACCTAGTCTTAAAAAAAATTGGTAAACAGGCTTCTCAGCAAACTGCAGAATCAACAAAGGCAATTAAAATAAGGCAATGCAAGTCACTTCTGGAATACCAAATATGAATTGAAATTATTCAGTTCAGAGGTGGGGAACTGTTCCCCCCAGAGACTGAAGAGCTAACGTTCTGGTAAACGTTATAGAGAGCAAATATAAAGGTTTGTGTCCTTTCTTTGTTTTGCATTACTTCCATTCCATATGTTTTAAAGTTCTTCTTTATCACTTCCATTTGTTCCAAGATGAACGAAAAGGGGGAAGCAGAGATGTTCTCAGCCATGTTCAAGATTTCCAAAACGAAAAAGGGAGGGGATAAAGAACAGATAGAAATGCAACAAGGGGCTACAAGGCCTCTTCAACCTCCAGGTGTTTTGGACTCCAGTTCCCAGAACTCCTGGCCACTGCACAAACTGGCCATGGCTTTTCAAACTAGAGGGCCATTGTTGGAAGAGGTCTGCAGCTAAGCCATGAGAGACCAGATACAGGATATCCCCCAAAAAAGTATACACACTTTAAAAGCTGATAAGTGACGTTCCTTTTTTTCTCCAGGTTAAACCCATTGGAATTAATCATGGACATCTGAATAAGCTTTGAACAAAGGAAGATCCAATTTAAAATGCTCCTGGAAATGTGAAAACATAGTTGAAGTGCAAATACAGTTTAGGAAGGAGGGAGGTTCAAAGACTTGTTACCATGAGTTGAATTCAAGTTTTGAATCTGATGGCACTGTTCAGAATGGCACGTTCTACAACCAAGATGGAGTGATGAAGCCCTTTAATTAGGTTTGGAATGTTAATATAAAAATATAAATGTATTATTTATCTACCGCACACTTAAGCGATCTTAGAAATTGATGATTTAACACCCCTTAAGTAGATTAGGAATGCTCGCATTAGAACTACATAAGCTTTGTGTAGTTCTAAGGGGGAGAAGGAATGATAGGGATACATAGCTAATTTTGGTCTACACAATAGTAACTTATGAACCACCGCAATGGCACTTCCTGGGGACTTGATAATAACCCGCATTTTTATTGCAGAACATCATGTTAATTTACCACGAGTTATTGTATTGTATTCTTGTTTTTCATCAAGAAGAGGGTGAATTGGACCATTCTGTTTTGAACCCTGCGCGTTCAACCACACCTCACACTAGACCTCCTTTTAAAAAATGGGGATATTTAAAAAGAGGAAGCCTACGCTACGAAGCCTGCAACCATTGCTGAATTGAGACCAGCAGCCATCAAATGAGAATGGGCACAAATATCAAACAAAATCTTTCGCGATGTTTGCGTTTCCATTGCTTTGCATTGTCAGCAGTGCCTGGACCAAAATGGACATCAGTTTGAAAGCAGGCATTGACAAAATAAGTCAGTCATGTCTAGATTCTATTACATTTTAAGAAATGTTGACTTTATAATTTTTGAAAGTGTGTGTATACATTTTTTTGGAACACCTTGTATATGACCTGGCACAAGCAATAGATTATGGAGGAGATGGGGGAGAAAAATAAAAGAAGCAGCAACACTTCAATGCCATGTTGCCCACAAGGCATTCGCAGAGGAGAAGGAGAACCGGTTACTCCTGCTAACAATGCCTTAAGCCTTGTTGATTTCAGTTGCAAAGCTTAATCACAAGAGGAGGTGCAGAGAGGCTGGCAGAATCCTTGGGGAAAACCCTTAGTAAACAAGAGAAACAGACCAATGCTACAAAGCTCGCAACCCAACGTGTGCAATGTAGCCTTTGACCACGTACATCCCAGAAATGTCACAGGACTCCCATGTTTGTGTATCCTGTTGCGGCATCAGAGGCTTAAGAAGCCCAGGTTCATCCTCTCCTCCTCGCTGTACTGGGCCACATTTTTCCGCTTGGCTTGTCTCCTTTCGGCCCGAAAGGACTGTAAACGCATGGCTGGGTTGCGCAACAGCCGCGGGCCTTTGCTCATCATGGGACCCAAAGGTTGCGCTGCTGAGGTAGTGGCTTTGTAAGAAGTGCCGAAATTGCAATCGACAGCGGAGCCGGGGCTGGCACTGTGGACTGAAGAATACCCAGAGCTGGCATCTGTGGAAGAGGCCGGTAATAAGCCGCATTGGCCCACGAGCCATTTCTTCTCTGCCACGGGATGGCCATCCTCCTTGAAACTGGACAAGGACCCTTCTTTCGCGAGGCTCTCTTCATCGCTGGATGCGTCGCAGCAGCAGCCGCCAGCAGCACGCTCTTTAGGGTCCATGCACACCACAGCCACGTCTAGAACTCCACTGGGAACTGTAACTGGACAGAAAGATTATCTCATTATTGACACAAATGCATGAAATCGGGTCAAGAACTTATTTAGAACACAAGGTGGTAACACATGGGAATAATAATAATAATAATAATAATAATAATAATTCTTACCCGCCTCTTCTCATGGCTCTAGGCAAGTTACAACACTATTAAAGCACATCATCATTTAAAAACACTCTGTAAAATACACATATTGAAACATATTTACATATAAACCATACCTGGTTTTATACAATCTACATTGATTTTATTTACTTAAGTTCTATAACACTATGTAACACAATTTGAAACATGTTCTCTTCCTGGTTTGAGAATGTTATTTCCTGTTTCATTGCACACTATTGACTTTGAAAGTAGTTGTTCTACTCCCAGAATTTTTGTTTTTGTGGCTGCCACAAACGAGATTGGATTAGTTAAGACTCAATAACGAGAAATTCATTGGAAAACTATTGCAAACTGTGCTGCGTCAGGATAATGTCCCTTCCACAGAAACAAAGTTTTGGCAGTTTAATCAACCTTCCCCATGTTTTTATGATAAAATCAATTAGGAAACACTGACATTGATAACCCAGGGATTAAAATATTACAGGATGATGAATAGAATAGAATAACATTAATGTCATTGTACAACAAAATTAAATGTTTTCCCCAGCACACATCGCAAACCAACGCAGCCATCCTTCCACCTTCTAATCACTATTGCACAGCTCCCAAGGCCACGTGAAAGATCTCTCCAGCTACTATGAAGATAACCACCTGAAGCCTAACCCTGGCAGAAGTGTGTCCTTTCCACTTACACAACTGTAAAGCCAACAGGACATTGGAAGTTACCTGGGAAGGCCAAGAGCTCGAACACCGTTCCCCACCCTAAATATCATGCCGTCACCTTAGATCAAACACTAACATTTAGGAAACACTGTGAGAACACCAAGCACAAAGTAGCTGCACACAATAACATCCTGTGGAAACTTATCAATAGTATATGGGGTGCAGACCCAAAATTAACAAGAACATCAGCCCTGACCTTGTCTTACTCAACTGCTGAGCATGCCTGCCCTGTTTGGCACAAGTTTGCCCACATGAAGCTGGCCCCAGGAAGGAAGGAGGCAGCGTGAGGAAGGAGGCTGGAGGCAGCCTCACTGAAAGCGGCAGTGGGCGTACTCACCAGTCACTTCATTCAGTCGGAGGTGTCCTCGCCAGAAGCGAGGCCGAGTGAAGCTGGCTGTGGAGGCTTCTGCTGGCCTCCACAACCAGCTTCACTTGGCCTCGCTTCCGGCAAGGCTGGGTCTGGCCTCCTTCCTCATGCTGGCCTGCTCTAGCTGCAGAGGCGGTGCAGCGAGTGGAGGACATCCACTCACAGCAGCCTGCCTGCCTTCCAGAGCTAGGAAGTGAAAACATTATTATTATTGCTGTTGAGGCTGGGTGGCCATTGGTCAGGAGTGCTTTGATTGTGCTTTTGGTGCATGAAGGCCGAAGGGGGTTGGACTAGATGGCCCAAGGTGTCTCTTCCAACTCATCGTCGTCATCAGCATCATCATTATTGACGCTGGATTGCCATCTGTCAGGAGTACTCTGATTGTGCTTTTAGTGCATGAAGGCAGAAAGGGGTTGGACTAGATGGCTCAAGGGGTCTCTTCCAATTCTTTTTTTTTCTTATTGAGGCTGTGTGGCCATCTGTCTGGGTATTTTTGGCAGAGAAGAAATGGCTCGTGGGCCAATGCGGCATTGAATGTCTGCCTGTTACTATGTTGGAAGCTACCCTGAGTCCCCATTATTATAAAGTTATTGTTGATACATATTGTTTTTGTTGACCCCCCCCCTTTCCAATTAAAGAGCTAGTATATTGTTTTTCTTTGAAATATGGTAAATACTCAAAAACATTTAACCTACTGATGCCCCAATTAATGTAATTTTATTGGTATCTATTTTTATTTTTGAAATTTACCAGTAGCGGCTGCATTTCCCACCCTTGGCTTATATTCGAGTCATTAAGTTTTTTTAGGTTTCTGTGGTAAAATTAGGTGCCTTGGCTGATATTTGGGTCGGCTTATACTCAAGTACATACGGTAATCGGGATGACGATTTCAGGATTAGTGCTAGGTTTTACATGTTTTTACATGGTCTTGATTTGTATATATATGTTTAATTGATTTTAATGGTTAATTGTGTATGTTTGCTTGATCTTTTATATTTGCAGCATTGAATGTTTGCCAAAACTTGGAAGCCGCTCTGAGTCCCCCTCAGGGTGAGATGGAGCGGGGTAGACATAAAGTAAGTAAATAAATAAATATTTATGCAATGCTTTTGACACAAAAATAAAATATTGGCAATAGCAGTAAAAAAGGAAGGGAGAGGAAGAAGAGGAAGAAAGAAAAGATAGCTTACTGTCTCCTTCCTTCTCTCCTTCGCTTTCTTGATCGCCTTCGTAGCCAGAGCAGGAATCTAAACTCCAGTCCAGAAAGTTGTCCAGAAGACTCTCCTCTTGGTTGGAAAGCTCAGCCGTGGGGGTTGTCACAAAACTCCCCCGGTCTTCTTGGATGCTATCTTCTCTTCTCCTATAAGCAGGAATCAAAGACAAATCCTCAAAAGGAGAAAGAGAAGCCGGCTCAACCTCAAGATACAAGTGACAACCTCTCTCTTCCGGCAGGCCTACCTAGACAGTTTTAATGCTAAATTTTACACTTCACCGTATGCCTTGTTTTTGTTTTGTGCACCTGATACATATTTTATGGAGGTATGTTTTAATACGTGTATATTACGGAGTGTTTGAAAATGATTGTGTTTGTTTATGTCTTAGTAATGCTGTAATCCTCCTCAAGCCGTGAGGAGAGACGGATAAGAAATATAACTATTATTGTTGTTGTTTTGTCAGAGACTTTCATGGCTGGAATCATTAGGTTGCTGTGAATTATTATTATTATTATTGGTTTCAAGCCCTTTTTGACTAACACTTGAGGTTTTTTTTACTATATTTCCTTGAATCTAATGCTCACCTTTTTGGGCTAAATGACCTTGCCAAAATCAGATTAGTGTCATATGGTCATCTTAGTGCTGAGTAAGAGCAGAAGGGGAAGCTGTTTTGGGAGAACCTGGAGCTTCTATTTGAAGGACTTCATCTCTAAGTAATAGCTATAGCAATGCTGGGATTTGTAGTTTGGTGAGGCGTCAGCCTTCTTTGTAGCCCCCAAAATCCCAAACTATAGTCTCCATAGCATTGAGAAAGTACATTCATTCTGTAGCGCAGACGCATTCCAAGGTTTCCTTTTCTATTGCTGAAAGCTTTGGTGCTCTAACATTTTTCTAAGGGAAATCCTATGCAGGCAGCCACTTTAATGGCCAAATTACAAAGAAGGCACCTTTTGCTGCTGCGCATGACATTCACCAGCAAGAACTTTTTTTGATTTCAGGGTTTTCAAAATTGAGGTGTGCATGAGATTCTATGATGGCACACAACACTTGAGTCAATACAGGAGTTTGCAAGGACATCATTCCCTTCCCCAAACTGTTTGCAGCGTCACTTTTTGACAGGCAGCGGCAACAAGGAATTACCAACCGCAATTTGCATTTTGCTCAGGCAGGCTTGGAACACAGCAGATAGTAGAGCCCACATTCTGTAGGTAAAGAGCCTGAGATTTGTTGTCTGACATCTCATTGCTAAAGGAGACCTCTGCCTGAGAAACCAGAGAACTGGGTTGCTATCAGTTTTCCAGGCTGCCTGGCCATGTTCCAACATCATTCTCTCCTGACATTTCACCTGTATCTGTGACAACAGACCTCTGAAGATTCCATTAGCCACAGATGCAGATGAAATGTCAGGAGAGAATGTGGCTGGAACATGGCCAGACAGCCGGGAAAACTCACAGCAATCCAGTGATTCCAGCCATAAAAGTCTTCAGACAAACCTAAGAACCACCGCCACACAATAGAGACAATACTCAAATAACAGAGATTAATGAAGTGGATAAAGAAAATCAAAACTGCGAAATACAAAGAACTGGAACTGGAAATTGTTATTGAAATGGTATAGGATCCGAGCCCCAGCTTTCATATATGGTAAACAGTGATTAATCCCAATGTGTTGTTGGTTACTGGAGATTAAATAAAGGATGGCATGCCCATATGTGGTGGGAATGCCCAAAGGGGAAGAAATAGTTAAGAAAATGAAAAAAAAAACTATTAAAATATCACTTTAAGTGAATATAGATTTGATGCTAATGGGATTATTATTATTATTATTATTATTATTATTATTATTATTATGTTTATTGATACCCCACTTTTCTCTCCAACAAGGACTCAGTAACAAGATTAACATAAAATTTATTTATTATTTATTTTCAATATTTCTATCTCGCCTTTCTCAAACCTGAAGAGAATGAACAAGAATGGCTTAAAACCACGAATTTAGCAGGACAATGACAGCGTGAGGTTGGAAAGACAGGAAAAAATGGACAAAGGAAAACTGGAGTGATTTCCTTTATGATCCGGTTCAACCTGACATTATAGAATGTTTAATTCAGGAGGGTAAAATAAGACAAAATAAAAATAAATGGATGGTTTATATGGAATGGATAAGCAGGCCATGAAGCCAATGTAAACATTGCTCATAAACTAAGAAAATTGTGCTCATGGATGAAAGATAATAGAGGAAATATGTGGTATGGGTAATGGGAGGATTTTAACAATTAAAAATTAATATAAAATATTATGGGTAAAAACAGCAACAGGAGAGACAATACTGAACTCCTGGGAAGGAGGCAGGCAAAGCTGCAGCAACAGGTGAGCTGATGCCTCAAGGCTTGCAAAAAAGGCACAGGAAACAATCTGCAGTCATTGTTGATGCAACAGAGAGATCGTCCATCCCTTCCTGTTAAAACTTGCCTTTTAGTTCTCTTTCCTGACGGGGAAGTGAGGAAGGTTTCCACCGTGTTCATGTACAATGAATCTGGCTCCGGATGCTCTTCTTTCACTCCTAGCAGTGAGCAGAGCTGGCTGTAACTCATCACCTAAGGCACAAATAATAGCCAAATAATAAGATAGTAGAGCTAGACTTACATCCATCTTTAACCCCAACTCCTTGCAACTAATGTTCTCAAAACCCCTTTCCAAAAAGCCCTTTTAACCTTTGTCCATGCTTTATCAAGCCAACGTTTACATTTAGTGTGGGTTTTGAAAGGCAGATATTAGAAAATGACTTTGTACTTATTGTGTTACTGTCCTTATCTAGTATCAGCCTTAAATGGTTAATTCATTGCTTTGCCAGCTACCGTGAAATGAATAGACTGGAAATTAGCTAGGTTAAATTTATAAGTTGCTTACCTGTAACTGTAGTTTCCTGAGTAGTCACCTGTGAATTCATACATTTGGTATCTCTGCGCTTGCGCAGTGCAACTTACGGAACCTTCTAGAAAGTAAAAAGGAACATTTTAGCCCTCTGCTAGGCCCGCCCCCCCTCTCCCGAGTATATATAGCCTGAGGGCGGGACTAGCCGTCAGTTCTCTTAGCCGCAAAAAACAGCTAGACGGCGTGGCATGATACTCGAGGGGAGGAAGGGCGGGTATGTATGAATTCACAGGTGACGACTCAGGAAACTACAGTTACAGGTAAGCAACTTATAATTTCCTGTTGTAGTCACTGTGAATCATACATTTGGTAGATTAGCGAGTAATCCACTCCGGCCGGCGGGATCATGCCACCGCCGAAGAGAGAACCGCTCTACCAAACTCCATCTCCGTATCAGCAAACGAATCCATCTTATAATGGGATACAAACGTCAAGGGAGATGCCCAAACAGCTGCCCGGCAAATGGCTTCCAACGGCACTCCCTTCAGGAAGGCCGTAGATGTCGCCATCGACCTCGTGGAATGCCCCCTTATATGTGCTGGTATCTCCTTGCCCACCATACGATAACACAAACGTATAACTGAAACTATCCAAGAGGAAAATCTCTGTGACGACACTGGAAAGCCCAGTTCATCCTTACGATATTTAACAAACAATCTCGGCGTTTTCCTGACACACGCCGTCCTTTCAACATAAAAGGCAAGCGCCCTGCGCACATCAAGTAGATGGAGAGAACGCTCCCTGGGTGTACTTGGGTTTTGGAAAAAGCCTGGTAATACTAACTCCTGGGACATGTGAAAACGCGTAGCGACTTTAGGTAGAAAGGCTACATCTGTCCGCAAGACAGCCCTATCCTTGTGAAATTTGAGATTGGGAGGGTCTACCCGAAGGGCGCATAGCTCACTCGAGCGCCTGGCAGACGTTATCGCCACCAGGAAGGCGGTTTTCCAAGACAGGAAAGAAAGATCAACTCTCGCCATAGGCTCGAATGGCGGTTTAGTAAGGCAGGATAGTACAACCTCTAAACTCCACGATGGAGCAATCGGAGCCACTAATGGCCTGATGTTAGCAAAGCCTCTCAGGAATGTCTTGACTAACGGGTCAGTGAAACATGAGGGTAACCCAGACTTGCGCCGAAACCATGAGATGGCAGCTAAATAGCATTTTAGAGAGGAGAGAGACAAACCCTTGTCTGCTAAGGATACCAAAAAATCTAACACAACGGACGTCGAAACAGTGACTGGGTCAAGGCCTTTGGAACGCACAAAAGAACTAAACTTAGACCATTTATACAAATAAGAACGTTTCGTAGAGTCCCTGTGGGCAGCCTCGATAATAGTCAAAACTGGGGTTGATAATGTCTCAAAAGGGATTAAGGGATTAACCCTATTCTCCATGCCGTAAGCTTCAGCTTGTGGACCTCTGGATATAGCACCCTGTCGTCCTGTGATGTTAGGAGGTCCACTCTGTTCGGCAGCCGGAAGAACACTCCCCTCGCCAATTGGTGCAGGGGAGAGAACCAGGGCTGCCGGGGCCACCAGGGGGTTATTAAAATGCACCGAGTGCCTTCCCTTTGTAACTTTGCCACCACCCGCAGAAGAAGAGGGAAGGGGGGAAACGCGTATGAGGTGTGAGTCGACCAGTCCTGAAGGAACGCATCGCCCAAGCACCCTGTCTCGATAGAGGGGTGAGTCCGAGCGCAGAATAGGGCGCACTTCGCATTGTTGTGAGTCGCAAACAGGTCCACTTGTGGAAAGCCCCACGCTCGGAAGAGCCTCAGGACTTCCCACCGGTTGAGAGCCCACTCGTGGTGCGTCAACGGACTCCTGCTGAGTGCGTCCGCCAGCAAGTTCTGCTCCCCTGGAAGGTGTGTCACTAAGAGGTGTATATCCCTGGCCAGACACCAGTCCCAGATTTGAATGGTCAGGTCCAGTAGGGACCGAGAATGTGTGCCCCCCTGCTTGTTGAGATAGTACATCACCGTGGTATTGTCGGTGAGTAGTTGCACTACCTGACCTGTGACGACCCTTTCGAAGGACATTAGGGCCCTTTGAACTGCTATGAGTTCGAGAACGTTTATGTGAAGGGCGCTTTCTTGTTCTGTCCAGATTCCTTGGGCGATAAGGTCCTGGGAGTGCGCCCCCCAACCCAAAAGGGAAGAGTCCGTGGTGATAATACAGGTAGGAGACGGGGGATGAAATGGAAGTCCCGCACAAACCCATAGTGCATCCCTCCAGCAACGGAGGGACTTGCGAACATCGACAGGCAGTAGGAGTCGGGCAGAAGGACTGTCCGTGATGGAGTTGAATGTCGACACAAACCACGCCTGGAGGGGTCGCATACGCAGTCTGGCATAGGGCGTGACAGCCGTGGTAGAGGCCATGTGTCCCAATAGGACCTGCACCTGCCTGGCCGTCACAAAAGGCGAATGCATGGCCTGCAGAACCAGTTCCCTCAAATTGGCAAAGCGGTCCGCCGGAAGGAAGGCCCTTTGAGCGACAGAGTCCAGCGTGGCACCGATGAAATCGATCCTCTGAGAGGGGTGCAGCGACGACTTGTCGATGTTGACAACGAGGCCAAGAAACTGGAGAAGGGACAGAACACAAGAAATTTGAGTCTGGAGCTGATCCCGAGACTTCGAAATGATCAGCCAGTCATCAATGTACGGGTAAACCGTCACCCCTCTTGTGTGAAGGTAGGCCGCCACCACCGACATGCATTTTGTAAAAACTCTGGGTGCTGTGGATAGTCCAAAGGGGAGGACGTTAAAGCAATAAGCCTGTTTTCCCACCATAAAGGCGAGAAATCTGCGGTGGTGGTGTGCAATGGACAAGTGGAAATACGCATCCTTTAAGTCGATGGTGGCGAACCATGCACCTCTGAACAGTAGGGGCAGGATGGAGGCAAGAGTGACCATCCTAAACTTCTTTGGTCTGATATGCTTATTCAGATGTCTAAGGTCGAGGATGGGGCGCAACCCACCTCCCCGTTTGGAGACCAGAAAGTAACGGGAGAAAAAACAGTAAGGAAACGTGGAAGGATCCAATGGAGCTATTGCTCCTTTATTAAGTAACATGTTAATCTCATCCAACAAGGGACCCGACGGTAGGGTACATTTGATATGGCCCACTCTTGGTTGGTCAACAAACTCAATTGTATACCCCTCAGCAATGATTGCCAACACCCATCTATCTGTAGTGATGGTAGACCAAGCCTGGTAAAAAAAGGAGAGTCTGTTCTCAAACTGGGGAAAACTCGGGGTTGAACAAGTCTGAACACCAAGAGACACATCCCTTGCAACCGGCAAAGGGGCAGTGTGAGGCTCATTTGGACTCCCAGGGGCCTGTGCGTCAAAGACGCTTCTTGGGGCCCGACTGATTTTTGGTTCTGCTTCCAAAGGGTTGATTACGGGATTTGGGGAAGTAGGGGGTCCTTCTTCCACCCTGGAACCTGGAGGAGTTATTCCTATTCCGGAAGGGGCCTCCGTTGGAGTTCCCATAATTCCTGCGGAAGGTAGTAGTGGGTAAGCTCCATTTTTGGCGCTGTTGGGGGTAGGGTTGCCATGAGTAACCGAATTTCCCCGCCGCCTGCCTCACGTCCTGCTTCTGCTTAAGCCTATCATCCGTTTGCGGATTGAAAAGGCCGTCCTCGTGGAAGGGGAGATCCTCCGCGAGGGCTTTCCCCTCCTCTGATAAGTTTGAGGCACGTAGCCATGCATGTCTTCTCAACGAGGTAGCAGTGGAGAAGAGATTGCCAGCAGCCTCAGCGAGGTGCTTGGCAAAATCTTTCTGCATCTTCGATAGTATAAGGGCTTCGGTTTGCAGCGCCCTAGGGAACCGTTGTTGATCTGCTGGCAACAACTCAATGTATTGTAGTATTTTCCCCCACAGAAAAGTCTGATATCCACTGGCATAGGTGGCGTAGTGCGCCATCCTTGTGAACAGCCCTGCGGAGAGATGGGCCTTCTTTCCCAGAGTGTCAATCTTTCTGCCTTCCCTATCTGGGGGTGCAGTGAGGGAATTCTTAGGGCGTTTTGTCTTTGCCACTTCGGCCACCACCGTGTTGGGTTTCGGTGGGGTCGTGACCCACTTAGCTGGCGACACATTTTGTAAAGCGAATCCAAACGACGAGGAATCGCTGGGACAAAGGCAGGGGAAGAGTCTGACACCCTAGCTAATTTAAGTAGGTAGGGCAGGACGGGCAGGGGGGAAGCGGGGGTCACCACTTGCTCGTCTGAAGGAAACATGGGGTCCTCCACATGTTCGGGAGGTTTAGGGGCAGGGATGTTTAGAGCCTTTATCATTCTGTCAATGAGCGCAGCAAACTTATTGACTTCAGTTGGGTGGATAAAGGAGGTACCATTGTCTTCCCCATGTTGAGCATCAATAGGCTCTTGCTCTGAATCAGAGCTATTCAGCTCCCCCACCTCACGCCCTGGATTATCAGGCCCCCCAGGAGTAGAGTCACCTCGTAAGTGAGTCTGAGATGCAGTCATAACATCAGAGGTGTCAGCAGTGCGGTTAGCCTGTTCATTGGCCGGCATTGTAGCCTGACGCTGGGATGATGATGGCACAGCAATAGTACTACACAAGTCTAGGCTAACATTGTTCAATACAGTATCAGGTCCACATAAAGCAGCCCTTCCTGGAGCAGCCTGGGTTGATGTGGAGGGCCCTTGTATAGATGGCAATGGAGCAGTAGCAGCAAGGGCAGCTGGGGTCATTGTAGGAGGTGGGGCCGTCAATTGGGGCAGCGGCAACGCAGGCAAGGGGGCCTGTACGAAGATCATTTGGCCCGTCGGGCCCATTTGCCAGAAGCCAGGGCAGGGTGGAGGCCCCATGGAGGGAGGATGCCACCTGGAGGGCCTCGAAGACCTCGATCTTCTGCTGCGTCGGGAGTACCCTGAGGAGGAGGACGATGAAGAGGAGGAGGCTGAGGATGAGCGCGCGCGCCTGGATGTCGATCTGCGGCGGCGGCGGCGTGACCTCCCGCTCCTTCGGGAGGGCGATCTAGAGCGCCTCGGTCTCCTGCTGCCTCTGGGTTGAGGCCATTGGCGGGAGGGAGGGGCCGGTACCGAGGCCGAAGCGTCCCCGACATCGGAGGGCTCTCCCGTCCCGCAGGGTGTTTCCTGGACCGGCGGCTCGAGCTGGGCGCCGCCCCCGACGTCGTCGTCGTCAGCCTGCGTCGGCAAGGGGGTGGAGTCAGCTCCCTGCATCCCTCCTCCCTGCGAAAGGGGAGGCATCTGTGGGAGCGCCGATGTCAAGGAGGCGTCGATCGCGGCCACCCGCATCGGCGAGCCTCGAGCCCTGCTCAGGGGCGGGGGCGAGAAGAGCGGAAAAGCCACGGGAGGCGGAGTGAGGCCGATAGACTCCAGCACGGGAGCGGCAGGCGCCGGGGTCGATGTTGAGGGGCCCGCAGCAACAACGCCAGCAGCCTGCAGAGGGAGCACCTCTTCTGGCTGAGTGCCCGGTATCGCCAGAGAAGCGGCGTTTTGGCGGGCATCCGGAGCTCTTCCCGACCTTTTGTCAGCCGGCTTCTCCTGAGCGGAGGCTTGGCAGCCATCTTGAGCCCCTTTATCTTTGGGCTTCTTGGCCTTCTTTTTTGTGAGGCCTGAAGAGGTTGACAAAAAAGGTAAGTTTGGGCTTTCTTTGGGTTGCCCTGATGTGGCGGGCGGGAGAAGAGCCCTTTCATAGAGCGCCGCACGGAGTCTAGAAATCCTGTTCTTCCTCGTTTGAGGAGTGAACGACAGGCAGACAGCACAAGATTGTGTCAGGTGGGCTTCTCCTAGGCACGTAAGGCAGAGGGTATGCCCATCAGTGTCCGGTAGGATATTGGGACACTTAGAACACTTCTTAAATGAAGTGGTCACCATAACAGTAGGAGTCAGACGAAGAGAGTTAGTCAGGCCAGTCCAGTCAAAGTACCTCAGAATCGATTCGTAGAAGAGACCAAAGCAAGAGGATTCAGCAGAGGGATCGTCGAGAGTCAGTCCAATGTCAAAAAGCCAATATGATCAATGATCAGTGAGAAATGATCGAAGTTGACAGAAGGTTCTCCAAGCTGCAAAGCATGCGAGCGGATTAAGAGAACTGACGGCTAGTCCCGCCCTCAGGCTATATATACTCGGGAGAGGGGGGGCGGGCCTAGCAGAGGGCTAAAATGTTCCTTTTTACTTTCTAGAAGGTTCCGTAAGTTGCACTGCGCAAGCGCAGAGATACCAAATGTATGATTCACAGTGACTACGACAGGAAACCAAAATTCTCATTTTCGTCAAAAAATGGAAGCCCTATATCTTGGCAGATTAAGGGCCACAAAACTGAACAGGTCAAATATTTTTGATACCTTAGATTTCTGAAATTAATAAATCATGTAATATGCCACATTCCAAGCTTCTCCGGAAACTAATGGGGCTCCCTAGGTATGACATCATATTTGTGTATTTTAAATTGTATACTAATGCTTTTATGTCAAGCCACTTTGAATCCCCTTTGCGAGAGATAAAGTAGGGTATAAATAAATATAATATGATAATATAATAATAATAGTATAAAATAAATAATATATTTTAAATTGTGTGCTAATGCTTGTATGTCAAGCCACTTCGAGTCCCCTTTGGGGAGATAAAGCAGGATAATAATAATAATAATAATAATAATAATAATAATAATAATAATAATGTTATGTTCCACTGATTTATTTACAGAAAGTATACCACACTCCTTCTTCCTTATCTAGATTTGAGCTGCAATTTAGCACACATTTACTTGGAAGTATATCTCATTAGGTTGACATTGGAGTAGACACGCATAAACACCGGGAGACTATAACTCCCAGTGACAACGCGGCAGTCCAAATAAGCAACCGCACTCAGATCAGTGAGCCCCTATGTCTTCAGACTCACCTCCTCCTTGCCAACTTCTTCATAGCGCTCATCTTCAAAGCGCTGCTTCACCGCAGTGAGGGAAACCTGCCTATAATCTTTCGGGACATCCTCGTGGAAACTGGGAGAGAAAAAGCAACCCTTTCAGGCATTGTTTCTACTATTAATTATAAGATAACCTTTTATGAAGAAGTTCCTATAAAGTCTTCCATAACAGGCCTGGGTCAACTTCAGCCCTCCCTCCAGGTCTTTTGGACTTCAACTCCCACAATTATGTATGTATGTATGTATGTATTTTATTAATATAAAAGAAAACATATTGAAACAGAATCTGCATCAAGGAAGTACACCTTAACAAAGGATTTTTCTTAATGTATAGGGCTAAAGGGCCACAACAGAATGGAACCTGTGGTTCCTATTGGGTTGACATAGTTGTTTACAATCACTAGAGTCAACAAAGACATATAATTATTTTGCATTATTTTGCATTCTGCAAGCTTTTTTTTGAACATCGCTTATATACGTGTGTGTGTGCATGAATAAACGGAAGGTCTTAACACTGATTATTAAAGTAAAATAATGATATGTGTAGTAATAAAAGAGTCCTAAATTAGTTTAAAACTTTCCCCATCCAAACTATACTGTACTTACAGTTCTAATACAATTCTTCCGAGTACTTAACATATTTAGTTCCACCCCTCCCCATACCTTTCCCCTTTCTTTGTGCCACCTTTTCCATGGACCAACTTATCTTAGACCTCCAGAATGTCATTGTTTCTGTTGCAGGTTTGTTCAGCAAATGCAAATTTTATAAACCTCCCCCCTATTTTCCTACTGGCTGTTAGGAATTGTGGGAGTTGCAGTCCAAAACATCTGGAGGGAGGGTTGAAGTTGGCCCAGGCCTGATCTAGATATTTGCATTGTGGCTCGCTTTCAGATTCCTTGCATCCCGCCCCAGTCTTTACCATTTCTTGTGCAGGCTCAGCACGCAAGGTATCAGCTCTTCAAGGGAAAATCCTGTGCTTTCCGATAGCGGACTGTTCCAAGGGTGAGCTGAAGGAAACCAAAATCAAAACCAATCAGACATATAATCTTGCAGACCTCTGCGTTGTGCAGGTTAGCGCACCCATAGAGCTGTGGCTATATTGAACTTCATGGCTTCGCATTGATGTGGGGGCTGTGAAATAGTGATTACAAAGTGGAGGGATGGCTGTGTTGTTTTTGGGATGTGTGATGGGGAAGGCATTTAATTTCGTTGTGCAGTAACACAATGACAATAAAGCTATTCTATTCTCTGCTAACAAAACTTACTTTAAAAAAACCCCCTAAACTGTAACTTTTCCATTTTACAACAGCAATATGATTGGTGTTTCTGGGTTATAGATGTCATTTCCTAATTGGTTCTATAATAAAAACATGAGAAAAGTTATTTAAACTGCAAAAACTTTGTGGGAGAACTACTTTCAAAGTAAGGACCGCACAATTAAACAGCACTAACACTTTCAACCAGGAAAACAATTTTATTTTTTTCAAATTTTATTGCATAGTATTGTTCTTCTTACCTTGTTTGTGCAACACTCTGGCTAGCAGCAAAGCCGCGGCAGCCAAACGAGCTGGAGAGTAAATGCAAAGACCCGTGTTGAGCAGGGAGAGTTCACAGATAAAGCTGTAGAGGTAAACAGTTCTTTTCTCCATTGGAGTTATGTTCAGTAGCACTTCTTTATAGTCCACAATCGTAGGAATCTTTAAGAAACAAGGAAAGTCAGAGTGAAGTCCAGCATCACACCTAAACTATGCAACATTTCATCTGTTTGCATGGAGTGCCATCTTTTCCTGCTCCCTTTTGTATTAATTCCTATACAAAAATGAGATAGAGAGCGAATGCAACATACAAAAACAAAGCAACAACAAACTAGCAAGAAAAACATTGTAAGAAGATAATACCGCAGGATATAGGACTTTTAGATAAATATGGAATATATGTTTTTTACATGCTAAAACTAACTCAGGTATCTGTGGCTAAGAATAATATGAGTAGACGATGATGATGAGAACTGAGAAAACCAAGTTGAAGGTGTTGGAAGAATATCAAAACTGATTTACTGGATGTGACGCGATTATGTTGATCATGTATGGATTGTTTACTCATAGATCTGCTTATTGGGTAAATTATAAAAATGGTTTAAAAACATTATGGATTTGGCAAGTTATGGATTTTAACTCTGAATGTTTTAATACTTTTCATATTTAATTCTGTTTTAATGTTTGCATATTTGTGTATTTTAAATTATGTATGCTTATGCTTTTATGTTAAGCTGCTTTGAGTCTCCTCTGAGGAAATAAAGAGGGTAATAATAATAATAATAATAATAATAATAATAATAGCAAAGACTCTGGCACAAGCCAGTAAAGGTAATCACAGTGGTAATCAGCACACTGGGTGTAGTGCCTAAAGACCATGGCCTGCACTTAAAACACAATTGGCGCTGACAAAATTACCATCTGTCAGCTGCAGAAGGCCACCTTACTCAGGTCTGCACACATTATTCGCTGATACATTACAGTCATAGACACTTGGGAAGTGTCTGACGTGTGATCCAAGACAACAGCCAGCATAGTGATCTTGTTTGCTGTGTACTAATCTTGTTGTGTTTCAAATAATAATAATAACAACAACAACACTTGAGCAGTAGGTATGAAGATGGGCATAGGTGGAGACAGGGTATCAGTTTGTGAACTCTGGCCACATATTCCCACTTCAACCTGCACAGGAAAGTATCCATCCATGAGTGAAGCTTCATTCTCGTTCTGAGCCAAAGGTAACTCTTTCATCCAAGGCTTGTGATAATACACTGCCATTGGCACTTTTGTATACATTCTGCAGGCAATTATGTAAGCCTAATGTAGAAGGTACAAATACGAGTGTGAGACCTACATGAGACAACTGTATGCCTTTACACCAAGACTGAAGAAAAACCTGAGGATATTTTTATCATTTGGGAGATCCTCCCCTGTGCAGCACAAGGAGAAGGGAGGGACCATCACTAGTTCAGTGGGAACCAAGGATACAGTGGGCCCTGGTAAGGATTCAGTGATTGAGGCATAGGCATAGGCATTAAGGCAGTGGTTCTCAACCTGTGGGTCCCCAGGTGTTTTGGCCTACAACTCCCAACAGTTTACCAGCTGTTGGGATTTCTGGGAGTTGAAGGCCAAAACATCTGGGGACCCACAGGTGAAGAACCACTGCATTAAGGTAAAGATAAAGATTTCCCCTTGACATCAAGTCTAGTTGAGTAAGACTGGCTGGTGGTGCTCATCTCCATTTCTAAGCTGAAGAGCCGGCATTGTCTGAAGACGCCGCCAAGGTCATGTGGCCGGCATGATTGCATGGAGCGCCGTTACCTTCCTGCAGAAGCTGTACCGGAGCATAGTGTCTAGATCTAAGGAAGTAATGCTACCCCTCTATTCTGCTTTGGTTAGACCACATCTGGAATATTGTGTCCAATTCTGGGCACCACAATTCAAGAGAGATATTGACAAGCTGGAATGTGTCCAGAGGAGGGCGACTAAAATGATCAAGGGGCTGGAGAACAAGCCCTATGAGGAGCGGCTTAGGGAACTGGGCATGTTTAGCCTGAAGAAGAGAAGGCTGAGAGGAGATATGATAGCCATGTATAAATATGTGAGAGGAAGCCACAGGGAGGAGGGAGCAAGCTTGTTTTCTGCTTCCTTGGAGACTAGGACGCGGAACAATGGCTTCAAACTACAAGAGAGGAGATTCCATCTGAACATTAGGAAGAACTTCCTGACTGTGAGAGCTGTTCAGCAGTGGAACTCTCTGCCCCGGAGTGTGGTGGAGGCTCCTTCTTTGGAAGCTTTTAAGCAGAGGCTGGATGGCCATTTGTCAGGGGTGATTTGAATGCAATATTCCTGTTTCTTGGCAGGGGGTTGGACTGGATGGCCCATGAGGTCTCTTCCAACTCTTTGATTCTATGATTCTATACCTATTGATCTCCTCACATTTGCATGTTTTCGAACGGCTAGGTAGGCAGAAGCAGGGTCTAACAGTGGGAGCTCACCCTGCTCCCCTTATTCGAACTGCCATCCTTTTGGTCCGCAAGTTCAGCAGTTCTGTGGTTTAACCCGCTGCATCACCAGAGGTCATAGGCATTAATGGCTGGTTAACTGCTTGAAGTGGTACTGCAGTATCACCAACGGCAAAGATGCCTGAGGCAGAACATCTGTTACTCCACAGGTCTCTGGTTCATTTTGCCAAGATGGCACAATGGCCAGTACAGAAATCACTGTAGGAGGCAAATGCATCTCTTTCCCCATGCAAGTCTTAGATCCTTACCCGTATCTTCCCCTCTAAAGCAGAGATGATCTCTCCCATCATCCTCACCAGGTCTTCATACTTGTAGGTGTTGTCGGTGAGCCAAACTGCTTCCCGTATTGTCAAGATCTCTTTGCTAATAAAACTGTAACAATAAGATCAGTGGCGTCACCACATACAGGAAAAAGAAGCGCAAGTTCTGTTCTTCACGTCTATTTTAGACTTAAGGGTATTTTATTTGCCACTAAAAACCCTTCAAGTTTTAAGGTTAATCCAGAAAGTGTTAGCTGCAGTTCTTTTTAACGCCAACTTGAGTATTTAAAATAATAATACATAGCCGCTTTGAGTCTCCTTCAGAAGAGATAAAGCAGGGTATAACTAAATATAATAATAATAGATTCACAACTACTTTGAGTCTCCATTGGGAGTGATAAAGCGGGATATAAATAAATATAATAATATATAATATAATAATTAATATTATTAATAATGATGATACATTGTAATACTAATAATGGATATGTAGCTGCTTTGAGTCTCCCTCAGGAGAGATAAAGCAGGGTATAAATAAATATAACAACAACTGTCGCCCTTATCCAACCTTTGCCCATCCAACATTCTATATTATCCAATGCAGTCTACCTCCTGCCTGGAAAAATGTCCAGGGTGGGAGAAAGAAAGAACCCATGTCTGTTTTGGTGCTTAATTTGTAAATGCAGTAACTAATTACTACATAACGTTACTGAGTAATGAACTGCCTTTTCTGTTGATTTATTGTAAAACATGATGTTTTGGTGCTTAATTTGTAAAATCATAATGTAATCTGATGTTTAATAGGTTTTCCTTAATCCCTTTTCCTTATCATCCAATATTTTCACTTATCCAACGTTATGCCAGCCCATTTATGTTGGAGAAGCGAGACTCTACTGTAATAGCAATAATAGATACGTAGCCAGTTGGAGTCTCCTTCAGGAGAGATAAATGATGGTTGCTTACCTGTAACCATGTTTCTTCGAGTGGTGATCTGTGAAATTAGCACATGTGATAGTTGATGCACCTGTGCAGCAATCACTGGAAACCTCTGAAAAGCTGAGGTGGCTTGTGGCTGCTGCCCCGCCCCTCTTCCCCATGAGGCATATAAGCAGGAGGAGGGACAGTAGCTCTAGTTCTCTGCCGCCGTGCAGCGGCCCGAGGCTAGAGGTATGATCTGCGGAGAGGAAGGGCGGGGATGTGCTAATTTCACAGATCACCACTCGAAGAAACATGGTTACAGGTAAGAAACCATCATTTCTCCTTCGTGGTGTCTGGTGAAATAAGCACATGTGATAGACTAGCAAGCCACAAACTTGGATGGTGGGCATCATGCCACTGCTGAGAAGAGAACCGCTCTGCCAAATGCGGCGTGCCTCCTCGACTGGACGTCCATCTTATAATGGGTGGCGAACCTTAACGGAGTGGACCAGATCGCCGCCCGACAGATGTAGTCCAATGGAACTCCACAAAGGTAAGCTGCCGATGTAGCGACTGCTCTCGTGGAGTGGACCCTCAGATGCACAGGCGAATCTTTGCCCGTCATCTGATAGGCAAGTCTAATGGTGGAGACCACCCATGCTGATAGGCGTTGGGGGGAAATAGGCAGACCTTTGGTGTCACTACAGTACTTCACAAAAAGCCTAGGAGGCTGCCTGAAGTCCTTCGTCCTATGAAGGTAGAAAGAGAGCGCTCTGCAGATGTCAAGAAGATGAAGCGCCCGCTCAAGCTCTGTTTGTGGAGCTTGAAAAAATGCTGGATCGGCTGTAGCCATGGGTTCAAAAGGTGGCTTCATCAATGCTGACAACACAAGGTCAAGCTGCCAAGAGGGAGGTGGAGGGGAGGCTGGTGGCCAGAGATTCCTGTACCCTCTAAGGAAGAGTTGGACAAGAGGGTCCTGAAACCAGGAGAAGCCACCTTCCCTGCGGCGATATGCTGAGAGTGCAGCAAGATAGCACTTGATTGAAGAAAGCACCAGGCCCTAATTTACCAACGTCACAAGGAACTGAAGGAGTGAAGAGGGGGCCTGCAGAGGCTGCACACCATGTTGGCGTGTAAACACCGCAAAGCGCTTCCACTTAGCCTCATACGAGTGCTGTGTCGAAGGCTGGTGTGCAGCTTCGAGGATGGCCGTCACTGCTGGAGGTAGCGGTGCGGCCTGACCCGCCATGCTGTTGGACGGAGCAGGTCGAGGTCTGGGTGACGGACACAACCGTCCTGGATCTTGAGCAAGTCCGGCCGATTGCTCAGTGAGAGATAATTGCTCGCAGCCATGGCCTTGAGGAGGGCGAACCAGGGTTGCCTTGGCCACCAAGGTGTTATCAGGATGGCATTGGCTCTGTCCGCATCCAGTTTGGCCACCTCTGCTGAGGAGAGGTAGTGGTGGAAAAGTGTACAACAGTGGCCCGTGCCAACTGTAGAGGAACGCATCCCCCAGACATCTCTGTGGCGTGTCTTGTGGCATCCTGGCACAGAAGCATTTGCATTTGGCATTGGCTGGCGCTGCAAACAGGTCAATGTCCAGCCGTCCCCACCATCGAAAGAGGAGGTGGGTCTCGTGAGGGTGCAGCAACCACTTGTGGTTGGTGGGCCCAGCCCTGCTGAGGTGGTCTGCCACCGTGTTGATTTGGCCGGGCAGATGTAACACCACAAGATGGATTCTCCTGGGAATGCACCATTGCCAGATGTCGAGAGCCAACTGGGGCAAAAGCAGGACTGCGGCCCTCCTTGTTTGTTGATGTACCAGATGGCTGTTGTGTTGTCCGTGCGAATCTGGACCACACGGCCCTGAAGAGAGTGCTTGAATGCTCGGAGCTCTTTCTGGACGGCAGTCAGCTCCAACACGTTGATATGGAGCTTGGTCTCAGCTGATGTCCACAGCCCTTGTATGGAGAGTGTGCCGGAGTAGGCTTCCCAGCCTTGAAGAGAGGCGTCGGTGACGACGACTGCTGAAGGCCCTGTAGGATGAAATGGCATGCCAACGCAGACATTGCCCACCAATAGAGTGAGAGCCGGATGGATGCTGGTGGATGTAACATGCGATGCTGGCTGTGGCGGAGAGGGTCGAACACCCTGATGAACTACGCTTGCAGCGGTCAGAAGTGCAGCCGGGCAAATGGTGTTACAGCAGTTGTGGAAGCCATATGCCCCAACGTTGACTGAATGTGCTTGGTCTGCACAGAGGATGAATGATGGATGTGCTGCACAGCTGCTCGGAGGTTGCGAAACCGCTTTTCCAGAAGATATGCCCTGCGCTCGAGGACGCCGCGTGTCTTCTCCTTCCTCTTCCCTCCCTTCTTTCATGGCGAGGGAGTTCTTTCTCTAGAGCCTCTTTCCTTGGCTGGAGCAGATGCTCAGTGAGCACTGTCCTGGCCCTGCAAGGGTCCAGGGGGCTCTGACGCTACCAGGGGTCCATCAGAGGAGGAAGAAGGTAAGAGAGCCTTTTCACAAAGTAGGGCTTTGAGCTGCCTCTCCCAGCTCTTCCTTGTCTGCAGTGTAAATGCCTTGCAGGCAGAACAGGACTTTACAGAGTGAGTTTCTCCTAAACACAGGAGACACAAAGCATGGCTATCTGAATCAGAAAGCTTATCCCCACAAGAAACACATTTCTTAATCACAGTAGAAGCCATAATAAAGGATTAAACAAAGAGTAGTCAACAATATCAGTCCGAAGTCAGGGTTGGAGAGAGTAGAAAAGTCCATTAAACAGTCCAAGTCTGTAGGTAAGTTTGTAAATGTCAGAGAGGTTCCTATGAGCTGCTGCTAAGGCGGCTGGAAAAAAGGAACTAGAGCTACTGCCCCTCCTCCAGCTTATATGCCTCATGGGGAAGAGGGGCGGGGCAGCAGCCACAAGCCTTCTCAGATTTTCAGAGGTTTCCAGTGATTGCTGCACAGGTGCATCAACTATCACATGTGCATATTTCACCAGACACCACGAAGGAGAAACCGGGATATCAATAATAATAATAATAATAATAATAATAATAATAATAATAGATACATAGCTGGTTTGAGTTTCCTTCAAGAGAGATAATTAATATAATAATAATAATAATAATAATAATAATAAGGAATTCCAGAAGCAGCCATGGCTGGCAGTTGGCTTCGCGAGTCCAGATCCACAAGAGTGGCAGGAGACCTCATGAGCTGCGACAGCGAACAACATTCGGGAAATTTTGCCAACCATGTGTTTGTCACAGAGGTGCAGGGAAAAACGAACAACAGAATAAACAGTTGTTGTGACTCTTACCGAGTACAAATCACCATGCATGCGATTCCCAAAAGCTGCAGAGAAACCCTCGGCACAGGCCGTATTTTCAAGTACCGGTCCACGCAGCCAACAGTCAGGTGGAGGCAGAGGCTCGAAAAGTCCTTCATGGTGGCCACTTCTACCAGCCAGTCAACCAGGATGTATCTAGGACACAAGACAAGGCAACGAGTTAAACCACAGCTCCATGCGACCCTTGCCATGTCGACGGATTTCTCTAAATCCCTCGACCGATCCTTCGACATTTGTCACTCGACTTCCTATTTTTCACCTTGTAATTCAATCCCATTTTACCAAACTTATTATTTAATCAAGTTTTATGGTGTTTTCACTTAACAACTCGAGGAGTTGTAGGACTGTAATTAGTGTTCATTTCTCTGTGCATTTTTTGTCCATTGTTGATATAGTCAGAGGACTAATCAATAAGCAGGTCTATCCATCCACTAACTTCTTTCAATCAGAATTGCAACATGAGGCCCCCTAAAAACACACATGAAGGCATGAACCACTTTTACAAGCCATATAGTTAAACAGACAGATAGATAAACCCACACACAGCCATCACACCAAACCCAGGATGTTGTAGGGTCCCAAAATTGGGAGGAGGAAGAGAAAACGAAAACACCTCTCTCTTTCCTAAACAACAACACTTTATTTGTACCCCATACCATCTCCCCAAGGGACTCGGTGCGGCTTTCTGTGCATTCTCTAAACAGGTTGGACTATGTTACACTATGTGATATAAGTGCAAAGTGGTTCTAATTGGTTCTATCATAAAAACACAGCTAAGGTTTACTAACTGCAAAAAAATCCTGCAGCACATTATATAACTATATATCATTACATAATTATATTATATTATTTATTATTTTTATTAACTGTATTTTTACCCCGCTCTATCTCACCCCAAAGGGGACTCAGAGCTGCTTCCAGTTTGGCAATAATTCAATGCCATACACATATAATATATAAATACAATATATGCATACATTAAAATAAATAAAATTAAAAATCATAGGATATCAATACATTAAATACATTATTACATTATTTTAATATATTACACTATGTAACACTATGATTGTTGTTCCTGGGTTATCAATGTCATTTCCTAATTGGTTCTATCCTAAAAACATGAGAAAATTTATTAAACTGCAAAAACTTTGACTTTGTGGGAGGGACATCATTCTGCGATAGCATATTTGCAATAGTTTCGCCATGAATATATCATACAGTCTCAACCAATTCATCTTAATTTGTGGAACAAAAACAAGGTTTCTGGAGCAGAGCAACTCCTTTCAAAGTAATGACTGCACAATTAAACAACACCTCATTGTCTCGTTCATTCCCTTCTGGACGGTGAAGATGCTCTGCTTGCAGAGAGGAAGCGCAGTTTGGAAGAGTTGAGACACCGTCTCATTGGCAGCCTTTGTCTCCAGTCCTAGTTGGTTCCCATTCCCACAAGCTTTGGCTAGAGCTAGCTGTAAATTAGGAAAGACAACAGTGCAGAAATAAGCAGAAAATAATGAGATCTTGTCTTTTCAGAATAGCAGCAACGGCTCAAAAACTCCAACTCCGCTCTTCTTACCTGGGCTTCCCAGGAGCCTTTGGCTGCATAGTCTCTGAGTTTCCTCAGGCTCTGAAGGTATCTGCCAGGGTCTGCCATCTACAAATACAGCACGCTGTCATTAAATATATATTTCTAAGAGAGACAGACATTTCTTGTCTGTTGCAGGGAAGACAAGCTAAAAACTTGCTTTTTTCTTTGCTACAAACAATTATAATTGTTTTATATTATTATAATTATTTATTAATACATTATAATATTTACACTATGACACATGATGATTGTTTTTCCTGGGTTATCAATGTCATTATTTCCTAACTGGTTCCATCATAAAAACATAGGAAAAGTGGATTAAATTGCAAAAAGCTTTGTCGTTGAGGAAGGAACATCCTGCAACACATTATATATTATATTTATTATTTTATTATATTATAATTGTATTAAGTTATTATAATTATTTATTATTACATTATTATGATATGATTTTTTGTTCTTGGGTTATTGATGTCATTATTTCCTAATTGGTTCTATCATAAAGACACAGGAAATGTGTATTAATCTGCAAAAAGCTTTATCGTTGCAGGAGGGACATCATCCTGCTATTGCATATTTTGCTCTAGTTTTTCCATAGTGTCTCAACCAATTCAATCTAGATTGTGGCAGCCACAAAAATGAAGTCCCTAGAGTTTAACAATGGCTTTCCAATTAAGGACAGTACACTTAAACAGGAAATTGCACTTTCAAAACAGGAACAGAAATATGACCCAAAACATCGATTGAGGTAGTTTTCAGTTACTTTATAATTTACTTTAAACCTTGAATGAATGTTCTGTTTGAGGAGATGATTTCCAGGCCTCCTTGCAGTTGGATGAGTGTCCTTAGCAGATGCCAATCGAATGCTCTTAATCCCAGGCTGATTTTGGGGCGCTAATATTATTATATCCATCTATATCTATATCAATACAGATGGATGGTTCATTTCAATGGGACACAAAGTGTGTCTGCTTGACTAGAAGTCTTCTTATGTTCAATTGAGGTCACTTTCTTGTAAAAAAAATATACCCAGAGTTCCAAACTTTGCCTCACTGGTTTCAACTGGAGTATTGCACATGTTCTCAACTTCCTGTTGAAGTCACTAGGATGTATATGTTTAGGGAAAAATCTGATGTCTGCATTCTACTGCTGAGCTCTTCAAAATAGATAGTTGTTGGCATTATGGACATGAGAATTATCTAATATTGCCTATTTTGCATTGAGAAAGCAAGTCTCTGGTTTCAGTCGTTTAAGTTCTTCGTTGCTGCCCTGGGAAGTCATTTTGAATACTCTGCAAAGGGTAGCTGTGAGATACAAACTCACATCTCACCAGTACCATTCGAGCCATTGGCCATGTGGAAAGACAAAATTAGGCTTGTGCATTTGGAGTGAATCACTATCTGTTTCTGCCTGCTTGTTTCGGAAGCCCCCCATATCCGTTTTGCAGTGCCTCCAAAAAAACGGGCGCATTGTCAAATGGGTTTTTTGTTCAGCATCCAAAAACAAAGAAACAAAAACAAAACAAAAAAAAATGTTATTTTCGGCCCATTAGCAACAATAGGGTTAAGAAGGACGACTTCCCACAGGCTCCCCTTCCATATCCTCATTAAAACCTGGATTTAAAGTCGCCCCAAGTCCCAATCGGGGAGATGGTGGCAGGGTATAAATAAAGATGATGATGATTATTAGTATTGCTGTTCTACTTTAGAGGAGAGGCAGGACGTGGCTTGGATTTAAGGCTCCTGCAGCGCCAGGTTCAGCTCCCCAAGAGAGAGGCTGAGGGAGAGAGGAAGGGAAGTCCTTGGCCCTAGGCTGCATGTGCTTAGCCTTGCCCCCCACTTTCACCGACCCGACCTGGAAGCCTGGCTATTGCTGCTGCAGCTAAAGATTTCCATGTTGTTGGTGGAGGAGGGTTAAAGATAACCCTCTTTCTGGTACTATTTGTTTGTCCTTTTCCAGGCTCCTGAGGCAGGCAGAGAGAGGCTGAGGGAGTGAATTCCTTGGCTCTTGGCAGCACATTTCAAGGAGGCCCAGGGACCTGGAGCCCAGTCGAGCTAGGGGCACCACATGGTCACAAAAGCAGAGGAGCCGGTTATTGGCTCTCACTTGCTTTCCTGTTGAGATGATTTTTGTACAGGGAGGGGGCTTCTCGTTCCGTGCTCCCAAAGGGAACAAAATAATGGATGAAATGGGAGAAACGAATTCCGCGTACAACTCTAGATAAGACAAGTCTTGTTTGTATCCATGCAATGCATAATCTCTTGTATGGAAACTCACAGAAGCTTTTCTATTGCTTTCCCAGAGGAGGTAAGAACTATGCAAGCAGCCTTGCTTGGAGGAGTTCTCAAACATCTCTAGAGCTTCTTTCCTCTTTTCTTCATCCTTCAAAGAAGAAATATCAATATAAATAATAATAAGTTTATTCCTTACACGCCTCTCCTCATGTCTCAAGATGGCTTTCATCGCAAAAATTCTATAAACACATATATTCAAATGATAGTTCTATTCAAGTAGTTCTATTAAAACATATTTCTATTATTATTAATAATATTAATAATAACAACAATTTATTGATTAGCCAATTGGCATTATCAAAAACAAAAATTGAATATTAATAATAATAATTTATTTATTTCTATCTTGCTTTTCTCCCAGATAGGAACTCTAAGCGACAAACAACATGTAAACAAAAAGATCACAACCATAAAAATAAACACAGTCATCAAAAACACAACATCTCATAAAAAATGATAAAGCACACAACAACGTAATAAATAGCTAACGCGACATAATTTTTACATTCAATAGAATTAAAATCTCAACTATTTCTATAATTATTATTATTATTATAATTATTATTATTTATATCCCACCCCTCTTCCCTAGGGGACTCAGAGTGGCTTGTAACAAGGCAAAGCAATACAAAATAATAATAAGCACATAATGCATTAAAAATTAAGACAAATGATAACTACAACAGAACATAAAAAGAAACATAGATCACAAGACAACTACAGTAAATATAACTCAAAACATAAAATTAAAATAGGTAATAATTAAATCAAGTAATGCAATTAAAACACCCCGGGTCCACAATTAGTTGATGTAAGCAATAAAGTTCAGTTGAAATTTTATAAAATACATATTTCATACCCAGGACAAGGGATTCAACACACAGGGCACGAATTTTAAATCCATGCTTAAAACTGGCTGGATTTATGGCTTTTGAACAGCACATGGACATCTATCTATAACAGGCATGGGCAAACTTGGGTCTTCCGGGTGTTTTGGACTTTAACGTCCTCAATTCCTAACAGCCAGTTGGAGAGCCAAAGTTTGCCCATGCCCTGCTCTATAACCATTAGGAAAAAAATAATAAAAAATAATAAAAATATCTATGTAACTTCTAAGATTTTGCAGAAGAGCAAACCTCCCTGCTGGGACAATGCATTTTTTATATCATGAAGTTTTCAAAGTGTCAAAAATGAATGAACGAATGAAAGAAAGAAGAGGTATCATCAGCACTTTATTACCAGAAAGCCTTACCTCAAAGAGATTAAGAACCTTAGCCAAACAATATTGAATTGAGCCTCTTTGAGTCTAAAAGGGAGGAAAGGAAGAACATGAGAAACAAGAGGCAAGGCTCAACATGGTTTCACAGAAGAGAAATGCCTTCCTTTGAACTTCTAGAGATGGATCATTCACCTGATCATATGTTTGAGAAGAAAAAGTGTGATTTCATGAGCATGCATGCATTCAAGGCATGGCTAGAATGGCAACACCCACAAGTTTCTTGCAAAACCCCGAGCCATTCAAAGAGAACATTTCTGGCAGACTCCATCTCAACAAGTGCTCACCCAGACTTGCAGCTTAAAACGTTTTCTGCAGCTAGCGGTTTAACCCGCTGAGCTACCATAGAATCATAGAATCAAAGAGTTGGAAGAGACCTCATGGGCCATCCAGTCCAACCCCCTGCCAAGAAGCAGGAATATCCATTCAAATCACCCCTGACAGATGGCCATCCAGCCTCTGCTTAAAAGCTTCCAAAGAAGGAGCCTCCACCACACTCCGGGGCAGAGAGTTCAACTGCTGAACGGCTCTCACAGTCAGGAAGTTCTTCCTAATGTTCAGATGGAATCTCCTCTCTTGTAGTTTGAAGCCATTGCTCCGTGTCCTAGTCTCCAAGGAAGCAGAAAACAAGCTTGCTCCCTCCTCCCTGTGGCTTCTTCTCTCACATATTTATACATGGCTATCATATCTCCTCTCAGCCTTCTCTTCTTCAGGCTAAACATGCCCAGCTCCTTAAGCCGCTCCTCATAGGGCTTGTTCTCCAGACCCTTGATCATTTTAGTCGCCCTCCTCTGGACACATTCCAGCTTGTCAATATTTCTCTTGAATTGTGGTGCCCAGAATTGGACACAATATTCCAGGTGTGGTCTAACCAAGGCAGAATAGAGGGTAGCATGACTTCCCTAGATCTAGACACTATGCTCCTATTGATGCAGGCCAAAATCCCATTGGCTTTTTTTGCCGCCACATCACATTGTTGGCTCATGTTTAACTTGTTGTCCACGAGGACTCCAAGATCTTTTTCACACGTACTGCTCTCGAGCCAGGCATCCCCCATTCTGTATCTTTGCATTTCATTTTTTCTCCCAAAGTGGAGTATCTTGCATTTGTCACTGTTGAACTTCATTTTGTTAGTTTTGACCAATCATCTCTCTAATCTGTCAAGATCGTTTTGAATCCTGCTCCTGTCCTCTGGACGATTGGCTATCCCTCCCAATTTGGTGTCGTCTGCAAACTTGATGATCATGCCTTCTAGCCCTTCATCTAAGTCATTAATAAAGATGTTGAACAGGACCGGGCCCAGGACGGAACCCTGCGGCACTCCACTTGTCACTTCTTTCCAGGATGAAGAGGAAGCATTAGTGAGCACTCTCTGTGTTCGTCCACTTAACCAATTACAGATCCACCTCACCGTAGTTTTGCCTAGCCCACATTGGACTAGTTTCCTTGCCAGAAGGTCATGGGGGACCTTGTCGAAGGCCTTACTGAAATCCAGGTACGCTACATCCACGGCATTCACCGCATCTACCCAGCTTGTAGCTCTATCGAAGAAAGAGATCAGATTAGTCTGGCATGACTTGTTTTTGATAAATCCATGTTGACTATTAGCGATGACTGCATTTGTTTCTAAGTGTTTGCAGACCGCTTCCTTAACAATCTTTTCCAGAATCTTGCCGGTATCGACGTGAGGCTGACCGGACAGTAGTTGTTTGGGTCATCCTTTTTTCCCTTCTTGAAGATTGGGACCACATTGGCCCTCCTCCAATCTGCTGGAACTTCTCCCGTTCTCCAAGAACTCTCAAAGATGGTTGCCAATGGTTCCGAAATGACTTCCGCTAGTTCCTTCAATACTCTGGGGTGTAGTTGATCTGGCCCTGGGGACTTGAACTCATTAAGAGCGGCCAGGTATTCCTGGACGACTTCTTTACCAATTTGGGGTTGGATGTCCTCCAATCCCTCATCCACTCCATCTTGCTGAGGTTGAAGACTCTCTTTTTGTGAGAAGACCGAGGCAAAGAAGGCATTAAGTAGTTCTGCCTTTTCCCTATCCCCTGTCAGCATTGCCCCATCTTCTCCGCGAAGAGGTCCTATCGCCTCCTTGTTTTTCCTTTTTCTACTGACATAAGAATAGAAGCCCTTTTTATTGTTTTTAATGTCCCTGGCAAGTCTGAGCTCGTTTTTTGCTTTAGCCTTGCGGACCTTTTCCCTACAGGTGTTGGCTATTTGTTTGGATTCTTCTTTGGTGATTTCTCCCTTTTTCCACTTCTTGTGCATGTATCTTTTGTGTCTTAGCACAGTTAGAAGTTCTTTGGACATCCATTCTGGCTTCTTTGCACTTGTCCTATTTTTTCTCTTTGTTGGCACGGTTTGCAATTGCGCCTTGAGTATTTCACTCTTGAGAAATTCCCATCCATCCGTAACTCCCTTGTCTTTTAGTATCTGTGTCCACGGAATGCTGCTCAGTGTTTCCTTCATTTTTTTGGAAATCAGCTCTCCTAAAGTCCAAAATGCGGGTTTGACTTGTCTTAGTTTCGGCCTTCCTTTGTACCTCAAATTGCAGGAGCACATGGTCACTTGCCCCTAAGGATCCTACCACTTCGACCGCATCGATCAGGTCCTTCGCATTTGTTAGGATGAGATCAAGAGTAGCCAATCCCCTTGTTGCCTCTTCTACCTTCTGGACCATGAAATTGTCTGCAAGGCAAGCGAGGAATTTGTTGGACCTTGTACTCTTGGCCGAGTTTGTTTTCCAGCAAATATCGGGATAGTTGAAATCGCCCATGACTACTACATCTCTTTTCTGTGCCTGTTTGGTCAACTGTTGGCAGAAGACTTCATCAAGTTCTTCCTCCTGGCTTGGGGGTCTGTAGTAGACGCCTACAACGAGATCTTTTTGAGTCCCAGTTCCCTTGATTCTTATCCAGATGATTTCAAGCTGGTTTCCCAGATTGCTGTCTTGCATCTCTTCTGCAGCATAAGAGTTTTTGACATATAAGGCTACTCCGCCTCCTCTCCCCTTTGTTCGGTTTCTGTGAAAGAGGTTATACCCCTCGATATCTACATTCCAGCGATAGGAGTCATCCCACCAGGTTTCAGTGATCCCTATGATATCATATTTGTGGTGTTGTGCTAAAAGTTGGAGTTCGTCTTGTTTATTTCCCATGCTCTGTGCATTAGTGTAAAGACATGTGAGCCCCTGGGATCTTCCCTTGAGCTGTTTAATTGGGATTATTGTGCTTTTGGTACTTGGTCCTTGTTGTGTTTGTGCAGCCCTCCGTTTAGCCTTCTGGCGATTCCCAGACATTATGGGTAAAGTAGTGTTCGCAAGGCTGTTGTCCCCCTCCCCCGGTGGACCTAGTTTAAAGTGCGTCTAATGAGGTTTGCGAGTCTGTGAGCAAAAAGGTGTTTTCCTACTTGTGTGAGATGCACCCCATCCCTTGCCAGTAGGCCATCCTCCTGGAAAAGCAGGCCATGGTCGAGGAAGCCAAAGCGTTTCTCCTGACACCATTTTCTAAGCCAGTCATTGACCTGTACTATTTTTCTGGCTCTTGTGGGTCCGTGTCTTACAACAGGGAGGAGGGATGAAAAGACCACCTGTACATTACATTCTTTTAGCTTTGCTCCTAGAGCTCAAAAATCATTTGTGATCTTTTGAAACGTATGCCTTGCAGTATCATTGGTTCCTACATGAATCAACATGAGGGGAGGACGGTGATAGGGCTTGAGGAGCCTGGTGAGCCTCTGAGTGATATGGTGTATTTTTGCCCCCGGTAGGCAGCATATTTCTCGAGCCATCCCATCTGGTCTGGAAATGACAGCTTCCGTTCCTCTAAGGACGGAGTCGCCTACTACCAAGACCTGTTTACTTTCGGGAATGACAGGGCCCCTTTTGTGCAATGTAGTGTGTAGGTCTCCAGAAAAGTGATCCTGTTGGTGTGAATTGTGTACGTGAAATGGATGTTGTTCCCATACCGCAGACCTACAGTAGTTCAAGGATGATGGAGCCATCAATGTCTTTTAGTCAGAGAATCTGTATATCAGTTCCACTATCAAAAGCAGTATGCCTCTATAAATCAGTTGCTGGATGGCAGGTATATTCACATTTTGTTGGGAGAGTTGTATTTTAGGCTGCTGGGTTGGCTGCTGTAAGAACTGGATTTTGGGCTAGACAGGTTCCTCTTATATTCTTAAGACAGGTTCCTCTCACATCTGTCCTGTTTGTGCCCTTCTCATAAGCACTATGGGAACAACATCCTGAACTAAATTGGCCTCTCTTCTAGCTTGTGGTTTCTTACTTTCTTTTCTACATCATCTCCATTGTCCATTAACACCTGTACTCTTCCAAAGTTTCCTCCAACCCACAGGAGCAAATTTGGGAGAAAAAGCGGGAAAATTGCCCCAAACCACTGTTAGTCCAGGGGGACGGGTATCAATTGAAAACATCTCATAATTTTTCCATGCACTTTGTGCGGTGGAAAAAGGAAGCGCGAACTGAAAGAGCTTACCGCTGTCTGCAGCCGGCACTCAGCCTTGAGGCTCTGGTAGACCACGGCTTTGCAGCAGCTTCCACTTGGAGACCAAGGTGGGCGGATGAAGAGCCAGACAAAAGGGGCGGCCGAGATGTTCAGGCGCTCCGCCAGGCTGAAGAAGCGGGAAGCTTTCAGCCCATTCACTTCTGCACGGCCCTCGTCTGAGACCGATACTAAATTCATTAAAAAGATAGCAATATAATACTATTATTATGTTTATTTACACCTCGCTTTTCTCTCCAAAGTCTCAAAGTGGCTTATATTAAAAGCCTTTCAGTACAGTTTGAAACCTACAAACAGAATGAAATATAAATGGTATTTAAAAATTCACAGATAAAATCCATTAAAAAGGTTAGCAACATTTAATACAAAGTCAACATGGAGAAATCTACAAAAGCTGCTAAAGCTTCCTTACTATGGCAAGTTGCCCTCTAGTAATCCATTATTATTATTATTATTATTATTATTATTATTATTATTATTATCAGCAACAATAACTCAGGGACAGCCTGCAGTACATCAACCAGCCAGAACGAATGCCTTCCCACCATCCTAGGACATGCTGTAAAACAGACCGCTGACCCATTCAGTTCAACGCTGCTCATCGTACACGAATACTCATGTGATCCAAGAATGAGCCAACGAACCTGAGGATTTCAGTTCAAACATCCAATTTTAAGCTGCCACCCAAAGCGTCCTGGGCTCAAGGTGGGCCTCGGTGTTGTCCATCCGCCAAGCTGACCAGAGGACCAAATAGTTGCAGCCTGATTTAAGGAGGCATTACAGCGCAGGACAATAGCACTAGCTTGGGGCAGCTTTGGGGAAACACTCTCTTTAAAAAATATTTTTGAACTAACACTCCCAAACAGGGCCATCATTTTCAAAGCTGTCCTATCTATTGCCAAAATCAACAAAAGGCAATGAAGAAACAGCCTTTGTGGTCAAAGAAAGAAGCATGTCCCAAAACCTGGAATGAAAAGAGACCCAATTCTTGAAAAGGTTGAAGGATCCAGCCTTTCCCTGCCTGAAATGCAGATTCCAGAGCCTGAACCGGAATAGTCTATAGACAAAACAGAGTATATATTCTGTTCTTGAGCTACAGGCTTTCTTGAGCTGAAGGCTTCATAGTTCCTTAGCCAGACATAATAGAAACCTAGCATTCCTGAATCGGCATCCCATACTGATATCATGCGTAACTGTCCATTATGTGATACATAAAAAGTCCTAATAGGAAAAGACGCAAACAACGATTGCAACCAAGGAAAGAGAATATAATTGCTAGGAACCTTCTATGGCCCTTAACAAGGCAGAGCAAGCTAGTGACCAAGGCAAGAGATCCAAACACATCACAGTAAGTGGACACAGCTCTGCTACATACCCTTAAATACATTTTACATGTGAATGTTTTAACATACACTTCAGTACTTACAGCCTTCATTGTAGAGGTAAGCAATGCCAAGTTTCACGGCTGCTTCAAAGTTACCTTTTCCTGCAGCTCTGAAACATAGAGAGGATTAACTAGTACCATATCTTTCCGGTTACACAAACAGGATTGCATGGCGTACATTATTAATAATAATGTTATTATTACTTACTGATCTATTATTACAGATCACTTATTATTACTTATTGATCTATTATTATTATTATTCAATTTTATTTCATGCTTAGACCATGGATCTCTCACAAACAGAACAAGTAAACTGCGGTGAGAAAACGGGTTAAACCATTGAAGTTTTGACTGCTGACCTAAAGGTTGGTGGTTCGAAGTCTCAGGTCGGGGTGAGCTCCCGCTGTTAGCCCTAACTCCTGCCAACCTATCAGTTTGAAAACATGCAAATGTGAGTAGACTAATAGGTAGCGCTTCAGCAGGAAGTTAATAAAGGCGCCCATGTAGCTATGCTGGCAACACGACCAGCTGCCTACGGAAAACAAGCTCCTCGGTTTGGAAATGGAACAAGAGCACCTCCCGATCGCCAGAGTTGAGCACCGAAAACAGAAGCCGGAGATGAAAGGAGAAGGCTTTACCTTTGTTCTGTTACTAGATTTCAACAGCTGGATACAATGGTCAAACATGGAAGGTTTAACCAAGTTCCATATAATGAACAATTATATGTCAGAGGTAGAAGGTATCACACATGTACTGTTTAGTTGTAATTTGTCTAAGAAAGAGAGAAACCAATACCTTGGACCATAAATTATACAAATGACACATTGGGATCCTTATATTAAAACTACGTTTTTATTGGCCGGCTAGAATGCTAAAATGACACACAAAACGGCCCTTTTTCTATATAAAGCAACTCAGCTGAGAATGGCGTATTTGGAGTCAATTGGGGAAAACTGTAGGGGTGATGAAGATATATGATTTGGATTGGGATCTTGATCCCTTGTTAACAGCTTGTTTATTTGAACTTTTGTTGTACTGTGGGTTGTATGCAGTATGTGTACGTGTTAAATGTGTTTGTCCAGTGTTTTGATACAGCCGATGGGCTAATCAATAAAATGTACTGCTACCTTTGTTCTGTGTATTTGTATGTCATTGTTGTTCCATTCTATTAAAGGCACTGAAAGTTTGCCTATCTGTGTATGTTGTAATCCGCTCTGAGTCCCCTTAGGGAGATAGAGCGGAATATAAATAAAGTGTTGTTGTTGTTGTTGTTGTTATTATAAACCCAATTATATGATACCATGCAATACAACATTAAAAATACTACACAAACTGCCTCTTTCTTAGTTAGAAGCCAAATCAAATTCAATATTATTGAAGACTTAAACAAGGAAGCTTTGAATATAAGCAACTGCACATAGTTCATCATGCCTTTCTCCCAATATAGGAGCAACCACTAAAAGAGCCCTGTTTGCAATATTCCAGTACAGTAGGAAAAGCCTTTGCAGTCATTGAAGTATTTGCATTTTCCAGACAAATAGAAACTCCCCTCTTCCACCATGCTCTGATTTTAAATGTGTATACGAGATGGAGTCGGCGGTGATTTAAAAAAAAAAAAAACCAGCACAGTGAAAGGGGTAGCTGGTGGGAAGTTGTAACCTAAGCACTTGGCTGTTGTTTTCCTTAATTTTGAGAGTTTCTTGGATCTCTGCAAAGTTACCTTTCAAACATGTTCAAGTTTCTGGGTGATGGCCACACTTCTTGGAAGCTTGCACAGGCCCATACGCTCGAGTGGTTATCAACAAGGTACTTAAGGTGAGAGTGGACCTACAAGAGAGAGAAATAGGCAATTACAGCACTGTATTTAATACAGTTGAGGCAAAACTGTGACACATGGACTCCATCATAAAAGAGGTCTTGGTACCTCTTTCTAGCATACCAGAATCTAGAAATGAGGAAGTCCTATTAAACACAATGCTGGAGTAAAGTGGTGTTCCTGAAATATTCAGGCAGGCTTTTAAAGATGATTTTTTAAGAGCAAGTCAGGGGGTGCTATGATTTTTAGCCTTGAATATGTTTTAATAGATTTTATCTGAATTTTAATAGTGTTGTGTTTAATTCTGTTTAAATGTTTGCATATTTGTATATATTTATAAATTATGTGGTCATACGTTTAATTGTAAGTCGCTTTGAGTCTCCATTGGAAGAAATGAAGCGGGGTATGAATAAACATAATCATAATAATAATAAAATACAATCAAACGTTGCTTTTGGCATTTTAAAGAATATTTTCAAATCATGGTTGGGTCAACTCGTGGGATGCCGAATCCATGGACACGGAGGAGGGACTGTAATGCAAAGGGTCTCAGTTGTCCATACCAGCATAATAGTAATTGTACTGTATATTATTTTAAAATGTTTTCATCTTCAGTGTCATATTACCAGCAATTTGGGTTTCACAGCTTACAGATTGATTTTCCCCATCCCAAAGGTGGAACTGCCTTTCGCAGCCTTAGCCAGAGGTCACAAAAGCTTTTACACTAAAACATACTTGGATTTGGTCCTGCTTTTTTCCCAGAATGACAGAAACCTTAACCCAGAGCTGCCCAAGCTGTGTGTTGCACACAAATGTCATGAGAAACCTTTGAATGTATGTGAAAAAAGCGATGAATCATATACTTTAAAAACACCAATGAAAGGTTTTCATATGTGGTGTCTCCATACATTTCATTCGATCGATAGATTTTATTTAATGCTTAGACCATAGATCTTTCACATACAGAACAAACAAGTACAGTAAGTACATATGAACCCAATTATTATAAAATACCAAACAATGCCACCTTAAAATTATTTATTTCGAGCATTTATATCCCTTCCTTCTCACCTCTGAAGATAGAGTAAGGACGGCTTACAACAGGCAGTCATTAGATGCCAACACAATACATTAAAAATCAGTTACAATTAAAACAATTATAACATTCAATTTAAAAACAGTTCGCCGGTTCAAAATCATAGTCCAGATTAATCCATTGTAGTAACTAAAAACATTCTCTTCCCAATTGATCCATCTATTGTTCAAACGCTTAACCCTACAGCCAGGTTTTAAGTGTTTTACAAAAGGTCAGGAGGGAGGGGGCAGATCTAATGTCATTGGGGAGGCAGTTCCACAGCCGAGGAGTCGCCACGGAGAAGGCCCTGTCTCTCGTCCCCATCAAACGCGTCTGCAAAGGAGGTGGGACCAAGAGCAGGACCTCCCCGGATAATCTTAACATGCTTGGTGGTTTGTAGAGGGAGATAGGTTTGGACAGGTAAACTGGGGCGGAGCAGATTAGGGCTTTAAAGGCTAAAGCCAGCACTTTGAATTGTGCTTGAGAGCAAATAGGTAGCCAGTGAAACTGGCATAACAGAGGAGTTATACGCTCCCTGTACCCGGCTCCGGTGAGCAACTTGGCTGCTGTTTGTTGAACTAACTGGAGCTTCTGAGCAGTCTTCAGGGGTAACCCAAAGTAAAGTTCCACCTGAACATTAGGAAGAACTTTCTGACCGTGAGAGCTGTTAGCAGTGGAACTCTACGCTGAAGTGTGGTGGAGACTCCTTCTTTGGAGGCTTTTAAGTAGAGGCTGGATGGCCATCTGTCAGGGGTGCTTTGAATGTGATTTTCCTTATTCTTGGCAGGGGGCTGGACTGGGTGACCCACAACTTCTCTTCCAACTCTCTGATTCTATGAGTGCATTGCAGTAATCTATTCGGGATGTAACAAGAGCATGGACCACTACATAAATGAGCATAGTTAGAAGCCAAGTAAAATTCAATATCATTGAAGACTTAAACATGAGAACTTTGAGTATAAGCAACCACACAATAGTTCAATAAAAGCACCCCCAACACAGCCAACTGAAATGTCTGAAATTAATCTTGCCCAGATTTTCATACATTTTGTTATTACAATTTGCATCTATGCCTGCATCTCTTATAAGGAGTTCTTGCTAGTAAAAGAAAATTGCTGTGTTGTGAAATGATGCATGCCTGAAAAGCGGGCCGTAAACACAAAATGTTTGGAAAGCTCTGCTTTTGCCTCAAGGAAATAATGATGAGATGGGAAGTCTTTGCAACGTAAATGCAACACAACTCCCATTATGCCTAGCATGCGAAGCAATTATGGTAGTTGTAGCCCAACAACTTTCCGAGTGATGCAGGTTCCCATACCATTATCTTATATATGAATACCTCCTACTTTCCAGAGCTACAAAGATAAACAACCCCCCCCCCCCCCCAAATAAAGGTGTAGTTTTGCATTAGGAATAGGCAACTACATAGCTATAGCCTTAAAAAAGAAAAAGCAGGGCTTGCAAAGGGGCTCCAACTTACAGCTCGAAGGGAGAGGATATCTTCTGCAGGAAGCCCCTTAAGGACATGGAAGAGGATGTCTTCCGGGAGGCAGAGGAGTGTCAGGACCCGGGGACGCTTCTTCATTCTCCGCTTGGAAGGGACGGAAAAGCACCGGGAACACCTGCAGTGGGTCACTAAAGGGAGGCGTGCTGTGTCAACATGAGCACAGGAGCATCAAGCATATCATCATTATATATGATGGCCTGGGTCTGACCACCTCTTTCAAGAATACCAGGTAAGATTCAACAAAAGTGAGGGTCAATGCCTAAACATGCTCTGAAACAGTGTTTCTCAACCTTCCTGATGCCACAACCCCTTAATACAGTTCCTCCTGTTATGGTAAACCCCAACCATAAAATTATTTTCATTGCTACTTCATATTGTAATATTGCTACTGTTGTGAACCATAATATACATATCTGATATGCAGGATGTATTTTCATTCACTGGACAAAATTTGACACATATACCCAATACGCCCAAATTTGAATACTGGTGGGGTTGGGAGGGATTGATTTTGTCATTTGGGAGTTGTAGTTGCTGGGATTTATAGTTCACTTACATTCTGAACTCCACCAATGATGGAATGCTCTAGATGAAGTCCTATTAAATACAATGCTATAGTAAAGTGGTGTTCCTTAAATATATATATAGAGGGTGGGGGGGGGGGGGAACTAAACTTTGCTTTTGGCATTAAAAAATATTTTCCCATCATGGTTGGGTCAGTTTGTGGGATGCCGAATCCATGGTCACGGAGGAGCCACTATAATACAAAAAGTGTCAACTGTCCATAACAGAATAGTAATTATATATATCCAACTTCAGTGCCATAATATTGGCCTGAATCCATCAGATGGAGAAATGCAGAGGAGCCAATAATACGAAGGGGACTTTTGAAGGAAAGAAAGAGTCTAAAGCTCGCCTGCCTCCCTTTGCAAAAAGCTGCTTACCGCCGCAGAACCCTATAGGGCAAGTCCTGAACTTTGAAAAAGAGCACAACTCAAACTACAAAATTCCATTAGGGTTCTTCTAAGATCTTCAGCACAAAAGTAAACCTTGCATAAGGTTGCCAAGATTCCCAACAAAAGGGGCTGCATCTACACTACAGATTTAATGCAATCAATACCACTTTGAACTGCCATGGAATGCTAGGAGCTATAGTTTGTTGAGGTATCAGAGCTCTTTGCTAGAGAAGGCTTGCAAAACAAAAACAATGATAACACAAACCTTGGCAGTTAAAGTGATATTAAACTGCATTAATTCTACATTCTAGGTGCACATAGGCTACCCCTCAAACTCTGTGTCAAACAACTCCTTCCACCAATTATTTTAAGAACTTCACTTTTCAAAGTTTTTAGTCTTTAGGGTCATCTTCACTATAGAATTAATCCAGTTTGACACCACTTTAACCGCCATGGCTCAGTGCTCTGAATCATGGAAGAAGTGGTTTTTTTCAAGGCCTTTAGCCTTTTCTGCCAAGGAGTGAGCCTCACCAAACAACAACTCCCACAGTCCATAACATTGAGCCATGGCAGTTAAGGAAGTGTCAAACTGGATTAATTCTACAGTGTGCAATGAAGATCAGAAGGAAGGCCCCACTGAATTAAAGAGGACTTTCACTCTTATCCCCAGGTAAAGGTTCCCCCTTGACATTACATCTAGTGGAGTCCAACTCTGGCAAGTGGTGCTCATCTCCATTTCTAAGCTGAAGAGCTGGCATTGTCACCTCCAAGGACATTGGCCAGCACAATTGCATGGAGTACCATTACCCTCCTACCGAAGCGATACCTATTTATCTACTCACATTTGTATGTTTTTGAATTGCTAGGTTGGCGGAAGCTGGGGCTAACAGCGGGAGCTCATCCCGCTCCCCGGATTCAAACCGCCAAACTTTCGGTCAGCAAGTTCAGCAGCTAAGCAGTTTAACCCACTGCACCACCAGGGACTCCACTCTGATCCCCAGTTTCTTGGAATTCTACCATAATGAACTGGATAGTTACTAGTCCCAACAAGAGTTTAATAATAATAATAATAATAATAATAATACAGTACAGTCTTGCTCATCCAATGTTCTGTATTATCTAATGCAGGGGTCCTCAAACTAAGGCCCGGGGGCCGAATATGGCCCTCCAAGGTCATTTACCAGGCCCTCACTCAGGGTCAACCTAAGTCTGAAATGACTTGAAAGCACACACTGAAATACTAATAAGTTTATATTTGTTAAAATTGATCTTCATTTTAATTATTGTATTGTTTTAAAGCGTTTTGGCACTACAAGTAAGATATGTGCAGTGTGCATAGGAATTCATTCATTTTTTTTTCCAAATTATAATTCGGCCCTCCAACAGTTTTGAGGGACTGTGACCTGGCCCTCTGCTTAAAAAGTTTGTGGACCCCTGATCTAATGAATTCTGAATTCACAGCTGTTTCAATACAATGTGATGTTTTGGTGCTAAATCCATAAATACAGCAATTACTACATAACATTACTGTGTATTGAACTGCTTTTTCTGTAAATTTGTTGTAAAACATGATGTTTTGGTGCTTAATTTGTAAAATCATAATGTAATTTGATGTTTAATAGGCTTTTCCTTAATCCCTCTTTATTATCCAACATTTTTGCTTATCCAACGTTCTGCTGGCCCCTTGATGTTGGATAAGCAAGACTCTACTGTAGTAATAATAATAATAATGTTATTAAAATCAAATGGATGGCTACTAGTCCCAACAAGAGTTGAATAATAATAATAATAATGTTATTAAACTGAAGTGAATGGTTATTAGTCCCAACAAGAGTTAAATTATTACTATCGCATTTATTTTACTGAACTGAACAGTCGCTAATCCAAAGTAGAATAACTATTCTTCTTCTTATTATTATTATTATAAAAACAAAATGGCTATTATTTATTTATTTACAATATTTTTACGCTGCTTTTCACATTCCTGGGGGGGGGAGTCAAAGCGGTTTCCAAAAAGAATGGCAAAATTCAATGCCTTACATATATAAACCAAATTATAACTTAAACAGCATATAACTAAGTATAAATTCAATAGGACAATTTGCCATAAGATAAGAGGACATTTAAACATGAAACATAAAAATTAAAAACACCTAATACAAATATTAAAAGTACATATCCAAACTAGTCCCAACTATATCATCATCATCATTATTATTATATCTATTTTATTGAATTGAACTGGATGGCTACTAGCCCCAATAATAATAATAATAATATCTATTTTATTGAATAAATTATTATTATTATTATTATTATTATTATTATTATATTACATTGAACTGGATGGCTACTAGTCCCAATAATGATAATAATATCTATTTTATTTAATATATTATTATTATATTACCTTGAACTACATGGCTACTAGTCCCAATAATAATAATAATAATAATAATATAGATTTTATTGAATAAATTATTATTATTATATTACCTTGAACTGCATGGCTCCTAGTCTCAACAAGAATTTAATAATAATAATAATAACAATCTTATGGCACTGAACTGGGTGGCTACTAGTCCTAACTAGAGCTAAATAATAATAATAGTAATAATAATAATAATAATAATAATAATAGTAGTCTTAATATTTCTCTCTGCTCTGAAAAGAGACTCAACCCGGCCAAGCCTGCAAACAACGCCACTTGCCACTCAAGAACCTGCAACAACAACCATGAAAAAAATCATGTAAGAGTTTCAATCCCTCACCGCCAACTTTCATGCTGCAAGAACGGACGTCGCCGCGCCAAACTCACCGCCAGCGCTCAAACAGGCCGGTAGGTGTGGCCCCACTTGGCCCCGCCCCCTCCGGACCCAGTCTCATTCACAAGCACCTCCCGCCTCCTTTTTCAGCCTCGAAGCCACGCCCCCCACTTCGAACTCAGCGACCAATTGCTTGCGGTTCCGCCAAAGGGCCTTGACGAAGCCACGCCTCCTTCCTACTTGCTTTTTTTCTTTTTTTCTTTTCAAAAAAGTCACCGCGCGCTCACTTTTTCAAACCCCGCTGGGCTGCTGATTGGACGGGAGGCGGGGCAAAGAGAGCGCCGCCGGGCCGCGATTGGGCAGCAGGACTCCGAAGGGGTGGGGAAGATTCGAACGCTTGGGGCTGGTCGGCACAGGCGCAGATGAGAGCAACAGAAAGCATTCCGGCCCAAGCCTCCCGAGGAATGCCTCCGCAGTGCAGAAGTCATGCCATTCCGTTTCAGTTGAAAGGGCGTGCTTTGATGCAAGGGAATCGCAGTTTTACAAAACATAATAGTAATAGTAATAGAAATCTAGGGTTCAAAGGATCTCTAAAGGCCATCTATCCCATCCCTTTATTCTGCCTTCATGCAGGAAAAGCACCATCAAAGCCCTCCCGACAGAGGGCCATCCAGGTTCTGCTTATTAATACTGTAATAATAATATTAGAATCCTAGAGTTGGAAGAGAACCCAAGGGGGCATCTAGTCCAAGCCTCTTTATTCTGCCATGCAGGAAAAGCACCATCAAAGCCCTCTCGACAGATGGCCATCCGGCCTTTGCGATGATAATAATAATAATAGGAGCAACCCCAGGGGGCATCTAGTCCAGCCCCCTTTATTCTGCCATGCAGGAAAAGCACCATCAAAGCCCCCCCAACAGGTGACCATCCAGCCTTTGTAGTAGTGATGATAATAATATAATAATAACAACAACAATAGTAATAAGAGCAGCAACCCTAGGGGCCATCCAGTCCAACCCCCTTCTGCCTTCATGGAGGGAAAGCACTGAAATAGAGCAATGTAGAGCTGTCGTGGATAGTGAGATCCAGACTTCTAGGCTGCTGTGGGCCATGTCTGGGGAGACAAAGAAGCCAATGTTACAGAATGAATCTCACCAAGTTATAGCATCCTAGTTGGAAGAGACCTCGTGAGCCATCCAGTCCAACCCCATCCTGCCAAGAAACAGGAACATCGCATTCAAAGCACCCCCGACAGATAGACATTCAGCCTGTTTCAAAGCCTCCAAAGAAGGAGCCTCCAACACAGTCCAGGGTAGAGAGTTCCACCGCTGAACAACTCTCACAGTTAGGAAGTTTGCATGTGGTGATGGGGTGGGGGTCACACTCGATTACAGCACCACCAAAGCCCCCTGACAGATGGCCAGGGGGCTCAATAATAATCATAATACAATCATATTATCCTAGATTTGGAAGGAAGCCCAAAAGCCATCTAGCAGGCCCGTAGCCAGGATTTCGTTTCGGGGGGGGGGGGGGCTGATTTTTTTCAGGGGGAGTTTCGGGGGGGCTGAGGCTGAGTGAAAGAGGGTCTACCCTAGCAAACCTTTTGTATCATTACCCCAATACCCCCATGCATATGGGATATATTGAGCATGGTGATCAGATCATGATATGAATAAACATAACGTTTAAATAATGCACCAGTAAGGCCTTTTCGCGAACCACCATGAGCACCCCCCCCCCCCCCCCCCCGGCTACATGCCTGCCATCTAGTTCAACTCCCTTCTGCTTTCATGCAGGAAAAGCACCATCAAAGCCCCCTGACAGATGGCCATCCAGCCTATGTTTAAAAGCTTCCAATGGATTCCAAGGCAGAGAGTTCCACTACAGCTCTCACAGTTAGGAAGTTTGTATGTGCAGGCGGGAGGGTCACATTCGATTACAGCCATCCAGCCTCAAAAATAATCATAATACAATCATATTATCCTAGAGTTGGAAGGGAGCCCAAAAGCCAGCTAGTCCCTTCTGCTTTCATGCAGGAAAAGCACCATCAAAGCCCCTGACAGATGGCCACCCAGCCTCTGTTTAAAAGCCTCCAAGGAAGGAGCTTCCAATAAACTTTGAGGCAGAGAGTTCCACTGCCAAACAGCTCTTATTACGGTCAGGAAGTTCTTCCTACTAAAATTCAGGTAGAATGTCCTTTCCTGTCATTTGAACCCATTGCCCTGAATCTCTCCAGAGCAGCAAAATAAATAAATAAATAAAATAATCTTTCAAAAGCCTGTTCCAGTCCTCAAATCCTTCCAGAGTTATCATGCCTCCTTTCGGCTTTTGTTTCTCCAAACTCAACTTAGCCAGCTCCGTAAGCCATTTCGTATAGGCTTACAGAGCCAATCGTTCTTGCGACCCTGGAGAAGGTGGGTAGTGGTAGGCTCCATGGCAGTCCCCTTGGTCTTAAGGTCCTGCTG